AAAATGTGAATAAACCTCCAGCAAGGAGGTGAGCAAATCAAGGAGCTGCTACATAAATAAGTAAATATTCCAAATAAGTTCAAAGCACAGCCAAGCTTTGAAACCCTTGGGGCTGACAGAGCACAAGGTGACAGTTTGGGTATAAAAGGTTGAGAAATGCTGCTCTGAGACCCCCAAACTGTGCCTCTGGCTGGGCCTGTGCACAGGGACTGCTGGAAACGCTGCAGCCTCTGGGGTGTGCAGCTCCCACTGCCCCTGCTCCCCTGGGAATGCAGGATCCTGAGGGGGGACAGCCTGGATGGAGAACCTGAGCCAGCCCTGGCTGCATTTCACCCCAGGGGATGGACATCCAAAGGCACGAGCCCCAGGGGAGGGTCCTGCAAGCTGGAACTGCCATTCCCAGCACTCTGGGAGGGCTCTGGAGCAGCTCCTCAGGGCCAGCCCAGGGAAAGAAACAGCTGCTGTGAGAGCAAGGGCATGGGGTGGGGTTGTGTGGCTGCTGAGGGGGAATTCCAATGCAGTGCAGTGCAATCCCATCCAATCCAATCCCATTCATTGCTATGCAATGCAATGAAATGCAATCCCATCCCATCCAATCCAATCCAATGCAATCTCATCCCACCCCATCCCAATCCCATCTAATCCCATCTAATCCCATCCAATCCAATCCAGTCCAATCCAGTCCAATCCCATCCAATCCCATTCATTGCAATGCAATGCAATCCCATCCAATCCAATGCAATCCCATCCAATCCAATGCAATCCAATCCAATCCAATCCAATCCAATCCAATGCAATCCAATCCAATCCAATGCAATCCCATCCAATGCAATGCAATCCAATGCAATGCAATCCAATCCAATCCAATGCAATCCAATCCAATGCAATCCCATCCAATCCAATGCAATCCAATCCAATGCAATCCCATCCCGATCCCATCCCATCCCGATCCCATCCAATTCAATCCAGTCCAATGCAATCCCATTCATTGCAATGCAATGCAGTGAAATGCAATCCCATCCCATCTAATCCAATCCCATCCCATCCAATCCAATCCCATCCAATCTAATCCCATCCCATCCCATCCCATCCCATCCCAGTCTCCAGCTCTGGAAACCCCTCAGCTCAGGTGGGAGCTGACCTCACCTGTGTGGAGACAGAGATTCCCTTTGGGTCTCCCAGAGCCTTTAGGGCAGCAGACCCGTGTGGGTGTGTGCAGGGAGCGCTCCCCTGCTCCCTCTCCCACCTGAGGGGGTCTGGCAGAGTCTTTTTAGCGTTTCTGTGAAATGATTTGGGGATTGCTGTGCAATCAGTGGCTCTGCAGGGCCGTGTTTTGGCAGAGGCTGGGGCTCACTCTGGGCTGTGTTTTGGATTTTGCTGGCTCCTCTGTGTGCTCAGGTTGTTCCCCAGCAGGGTGAACAGGGAGATGAAGGGCAGAGCTCTTAAATCACTGCAGCCACTTCCTTGAGCACCCACTGGCTGCTGCCTCACTGGGATTTCCTGAGGCACTGGCAGGCCTGGAGTGTTTGAACAACTGACAGGAACAAAAGCTCTTAAGAAATGCAGAGATCTCAATTTTCCAGCCCTCCTCTCTGCTCTTGGGCCATCACCTCTCACTACACGTACCTGCAATCCTGCTGACAGAGAAGCAGACGTGTATTTGCATGTGTTTGCATAAATTTTCATGTATCTGAGCACAGGCCAGCAAAAGCCAGTGCTGTCTCACTTGGGAGGATGTCACAATGAGCCCTGAATGGAGTGAGAAGAGTATCAGGGAGGGAGTGAAAAGTGTATCAGTGTCAAGGCAAAATGATGGATAAAATATCAATTTCTGGAACCAGCAGAACTGTCAAACTGTGAGCAATGTGAAAGTGCAAAAAGCTTTTTGCCACCTTGAAATGTCTGTGAGGTGACTGAAGTCCTTTGGCAGTGAGAAAATACAGGAGCCTTCTTTCTTTGAGTGGTTTTTCTCTTTATTATTGTGTCATCTCTTGGGAGTTTCATACAAAGCAGGCTCAATGGGAGTCTGGAACCATCACCATCCCCAGAATATCAGGGAAAATACCTTTGAGGGCAGGAATCAAAGCATCCCCCGGCATCTGGGAGCTGGTGGATGAGGTTTGCAGTGGGTTTGCACCCATGGCAGCCCAGGATTCCTCCTCCCTGTGCTCAGCTTCCCCAAGCCCAGCCTGCAGAGGCCTCCTCTGAAAGCAGCCACAATCCCCAAGCTGCTCCTGTTGGCTTTGGACTGGAGCCACCAGGCTGTTGGAAGCTGCTGCTTCCCCCTGGGTGTAAAACAATTTTCCCTTTTCCTTTCCCAATTCCTGGCCTGGCTGTGAAGAAATTCACTTTTCAATCTCAAACCTGAGTGTCTTCTCTACTCCTCTCACTGATTTAAGCAGTTCAGAGCTCACTCCTCAATTTTTTATTGCTCTTTCAGGGGAAATGTAACTTCTCAAAGCTCAGCCTTGCTGGCAGTGTGTGATATCCCTTTATTTGCACAGTTTATCTCTTCCTACCTGTGGCTTTGGATAAGTTGTTAATAACAAAGGCTCGTTATCACCAAACAAACGCTCTGAAGTGGCTCCATAGAAAAGCTGTCAGTCGGTTGGCAAGGGAAACTTTTAGATCAAATTCTCGGAGAGAGAAGCTGAAAATAAGAACTTTTCCTTTCCTCTGTAACTGTGGGTGACTTCTGGAGTTATTCATGGCTTTGTAAGCACGAGATGATCCCTGGGTTTGTGTTTATAGAGGCAGTCAGGGCTTCGCCTGGCAGGGACTGATGAAATGCCAGCCTTGCAGCAGAGCCAGCTCTGGTGAAAGTGTTTCCTTTAACTCCTTTTTACTTTTGGGAGGGATGAAAGAGGGGAATAATACATTTCTCACAGCCAGAAAACGCACCATCAACCTTTGAATGGCTCCTCTGTTGTGTTTTTTATCCCTTTCTTGTGTCAACAAGGCCTTGTGTCAACAGCCAGCAAGCTTCTACTTGTCCTGAGTGTGTCCCTGGGGCTGTTGACAGCCTCTCAAACCAGTTTCCAGTCTGGCACAGGTGGGATTGCAAAACCACTGCAGAAGGAGCGGCAGGGAAGGAGGAAGAGGCTGCAAGGGATGGAAATGGTGCTGCTGATGGGGTGGAAGCTGGTCCAGCCGGCAGGTTTTGGTCTGTAGGAATATTCTGCAGGAAATATCTTGGTCTTCTCCACTGAGGAGGGTTTTTTTGGCCTGGATCAGGCATCATCCAAGGATCAGGATAGGATTTAGGGTGGTTTTAGTGCTGGTGTTGGTACCTGGCTGTGCCAGCAGTGGGATCAGGGTGGGCACAACCATTGCACAGAGCAGTCCTGGGGAGGATCCACACCATGAGTTATTGATAAGTGTGCAATCTACTAAAAACCTGTCAGAATTAAACATCCACCTCAGCTGCAGGTCAGAGATATCTTGTCAGACTCCAGCAGTACAGGCTGCTGCTCTAAGATATGTTATGGATTGTTTTTAAACCCTTATTTATCATTTCATGGTGCCCTTTCATCCCTGAGAGCGTCTCCCTGGCTCTGCTAAGCTCAGGCCAGCCTTGCCAAGCCATGGGGAGGATGTGGGCACCCCATTTCCTCTAGAAGCCTCCAGTTTCTTGTTTCAGCCTCATTTTCTGGCTTTTTCTTGCTGCTGATAAGAGATTCTGATGTGTGGTTCGAGGTGTGCCCGCTCCTGAGGCAGCAGGCAGGAGCAGCTGGCACTGGGCGAGCTCTGGGGCAGAATTTCAGCCCTTCAGTGCCCCAAAAGATCCCTCAGGGGCTGGAGCAGCTGCCAGCACGACTGAAATGACACTTGGTGGGGTGTCCCTGCGCAGGGGTGATCACACCTTTAACTGCTGCGAAGTTACAGCTCTTTACAAGTTATATAATAATAATATACATATATATTGCTGTGACCTCATGGATTTATCACTTGGGCCAATGCTGAGATTAATCAGGGGAGAAGGGGAGATATTATTTGAAGGTATCAAAATATTTTTAAAGCATGTTTTGGTAAAAAAAAAAACCCAACCATTGCTACCTTACACAAGTTAAAGGAACTGGAAAGGTTTTCAGTCCAGCGTGGAAGTGTCTGGATGAGGTGAGCAAACAAATAGATAGAATTCATATTTCTCTCCACAGGTGCAGTTATTTTCTCTTTTTTGTGGAATTTAATATGGAGAGATGCTTATTTCTTTCTTTCCAGTTTGCCTCACCAAGAGGAGGCAAGGCAAAATGTTAGGAAGCTCTGGGTTTATGCAAGAAGCAGGAAATCCTCAGGTATTACAATTTTCCTATTATCTACTTTAAAAAAAAAATAAATCATTTAGCTCCTGTTCAGCTGATTATGCTGAAAACCTTTTACCTCTGAGGAGCCAGGGCTAAACCCTGGTGTGTCAAACAACTTTCCTTTTCTGCCAGAAGCACTGGGAAATGTCACCAGGGCACCCTGAGCTGCAGCAGAGGTGAGGAGCTGCAGATCCAGCTCAGAGCTGGGTGATGCACAGAGTTCTCAGGGGGGGAAATTAATTAAATATGGATCTTTTATCTGCTGGAAAAGGTGAGTGAGAGCTTTTGTGTCACTGAATAGGCTGCTCAAAATCTCATCCTCACCTCTGTGAGAACAAGGTCAGCAGTAGAGGAGAAAAGCACTGACCTTTAGCACGCGAAAAATGAGCAGGCTTCAGCATTTGCACCAAATGATTTATTTGTATCAAAAAGAGCTGGTTTAATAACAAATGTTCGATAAGGCAGCTTCAGATTTATTTTAAAAAACAGCAACAATGGAAAAAAAAAACAGGAAAAAACCCCCACCAAACCACCAACAAACCCCCCTGACCGTAGATCAATGTAGTGACAGCGTCATGTAAAAAAGTGTGAGTAGTGAAGGATAAACTGGGCTGTGTTAGGCAGCACAACTTTGCATAGTTCATGGGCAATTTAATCTGATTTGGATAGAGTGGATGTGTGAAACCACAGCCCCCATTAGCTGTAGCAGATGTCCCAGCTCCTGTCCCTCCTGAAGAAGTCCTCAGCCACGGCCAGGGGTGGCAGCAGCTCCAGGCAGTCCGAGCTGGGGCAGGGGCAGCACTGCGGGGCCCTGCTGTCCCTGCCCTGCGCCCCACAGGCTGGGCAGCAGCACGCAGGGCTGCCCAGGGGACACGGGGGGTGGCAGGGCCACTCCTCCATGGGGCAGCTGAAGGGCGGGCTGGGGGTCAGCGGGGTGAGGGGAGACAGCTGAGGGGGAGAGCAGCTGGAGCTCCACGGGCTGGGCAGGTCTGCTGAGCTGGGAGAGCTGGCAGCCTGGAGATTGGGAGAGAAAAGGGGGGAAAAAGAGATTTCAGGGGAATGTGGCCAGCAGCCAGAATGGCTGTGCTGTTGCCTTTCTCATCTCCCTGCCCAGGGAAATCCTGGAGGTCTAAACCCAATTTTAGCAGGGACAATCCCTGCCCAGGGAGATCCTAGAGGTGAAAACCCAATGTTAGTGGAGACAATCTCTGCGCAGAGAGATCCTAGAGGTGAAAACCCAATGTTAGTGGAGACAATCCCTGCCCAGGGAGATCCTGGAGGTGAAACCCCAATGTTAGCAGGGACAATCCCTGCCCAGGGAGATCCTGGAGGTGAAACCCCAATGTTAGCAGGGACAATCCCTGCCCAGGGAGATCCTGGAGGTGAAAACCCAATGTTAGCAGGGACAATCCCTGCCCAGGGAGATCCTGGAGGTCTAAACCCAAAGGCAGTTTCTGTTATAGGGATAACCCCTTCCAGGAGCTGTGCTGCTATTTGCACAAAATCTGCAGGACCTCTAGAAGGGACATTCCCCATCCTGCAGCCTCTCCCAGTTTATTTTGTGCTTCCCATGGGAAAAGAACGGACATTCCCCATCCTGCAGCCTCTCCCAGTTTATTTCGTGCTCCCCATGGGAAAGCATTCGGAGCCCATGAGCATCCCAAGCTCCCAAAAGCAGCCCCAAATTCCCACATTGCTGCTGCTCTGCCCCACGAGGTGACTCCCTCTCCCCCTGGGGACACCGGTGGCTGCTCCCCTGGCTCCCAAAGCTCACCAGGCCCTGGTTGAAGCAGAGCTGGACTGGCTGGGAGGTGTCTGGGGTGTAGTGTGGGGATGGCTGGAAGGCACTGAAGGCTGGTTCAGAGGGTGCATCTGACTGCAGGCAGGAATCAATCAGCTGCTCCAGGTACCCAGGGCTTTCCTCACAGGACAGGCAGCTGGAAAACTGCCAGGGTGGGCAGCAGCTGGGCACAGGAGGGATGGGTTCTGCTTCAAAAGGCTCTAGGAGAGAAAGGAGAGCAGACAGCAGCAATGAATCAGTGTCTGTCTTCACAAAGGGCAGGTTTTGGTGCTCTCCTAGGCTTAGTAACCCTGTGAATTTAGACATTAAACATGCCTCTCGAGGCCTGGATTTTTGTTTTTAAAAGCAGAAACTATGAGGGAGATGCTCAAAACCATGTGAATAACTCAGGGAAGGCAGCCCCCTCAGCTATAAACCTCTTTAAACACTGGAAACTCTCCTGGCCCCAGGCATTTTGGACAGGGATCCAGCTGGAAACTCCCTCAGACTCTTGACCCTGTGGCCTCCCTTCTGTGCCCTGTTTGCAGCCCCAGGAGGTGCCAGGCAGTGATTTGTGCTTCCAGCCTGGCAGATGTGCCTCTGGCTCATCTCCAGACCCGGGGCAGCTACACCTGCAGGAAAAAGGGGATGACAGGAGGATAATTTGCTTTTTTATCCTCCAAAGAGCCAGACAGGAGCAGAACAAATGGAGCAAGGCAGGGCTGATGTGGCATTGTGACCACCAAGTGTTGCTGGCCAAAGGGTGAGTTCCTGGAAAGCTGACAGCAGATCTGGCTTTTCAGAATTATTATCTTTTCATACCAAGATCAAACATGGTTTAAGCCCTGTCCACGTGAAGGGCACAGGTCTGAAGTGCACATTGCAGGGTCAAGGGTGGCAGTGCTTAGCTGGCTGTGGGGAGTGAGGAACACCCAAAATACATAAACTGATGGAGACCTTCCAGCCTGAAAAGGCTTTGGCATGTCAGCTTTGGCGTGTCTCACGTTTCTTTATTAACATAAGCAAATGGATTCCCAGCTATCGATGATTTAACAATTTCCTTGTCCATGCAATGCGTGCACTCACACCTGCCCAGCCCTTCCTCTGTGCTTTGGCTGGGGACAACTGAAGGATCTGCGAGCCCAAAGTGCCCCTCCCCTCACCCCTTCCCCCTTTTCCTTGGATATTCGCGGGCAGGAGGAGGAAACTCTTGGTGGTGTTGAAAATCTGGTATTTCTCTCACTGCTGTGGATGCTGGCAGGAGAGAACAGAGCCCAGCCAGGGGCTCCGGGTCACTCTGACCCTCGGTGGCCCCAGAGCCTGGGGAGGGCGATGTTATTCCCTCGGGATGAGCATCCCCTCCCGAAGGGATGGAATTCCCTGCTGGGGGATGGATAAGCTCGGAAAGGAGCTCGGAGCTCCTCATCTGCATCCCGCGGGCTCCCTGCAGGTGCTGATTGGCCGCACCCCCGGCCTCAAACAGGGCTGGGAAGGCTCGGGGCGGTGGGAAAAATTGGGAATGGGGCGGGAAGGGCCGTGTGGATGGGCTTTGTACCGACCTGGGTGAGGCGGAGACACAGGCTCTGCAAACTGGATGCTGCTGCTGCTGCTGCTGTCCCAAGGAGCCTGAGCAAAGACAAGGGAGGAGAGGAGCTGCGGCACAGAGCGAGGTGAGTCTGGATTTCAGAGAAAACTCTTGAGATAAACCTTATTTCCCTTCTAGCTGTGCCTGGGAAAACCTCCAGAACACTAGATGAATGTGCACAACAGGATTTTTGCTGGGCACAGCACCCACCCGGGGTGAAGCCCCTGAATCAGCTCCGAGCTGAGGGGGTTTTTTGCTCTTTTTGCTCTTTTTGCTGCATTCCCCATTCTACAGAGCTGCCTCTGAAATTAATGTGTGTTAATTTCCAGGAGCGTGAATTCCACACTGGAGGGAATCCCAAGGAATTCCTAGGGATGGATATTACTGGGAATAAGCCATTAACTAATGACCACCGCAGGTGTCCCAGCAGGCTGGATTGATGTTTGAGAAGCAGCTCTGGCAGTGCTCCCTGAAAAGGGAAAGCTTCGTTTTTTAAGGATTGCTGGAAGTTGAAGCAAGACGGAACAACCACTTCTGAGAACCTGACCTGCTGGAAGGAAGAAATGCACCCCAAAAGCAACGGGAGTTTTGCTGCTTGGGGGCCAGGATTTTACTCTGCAAGTACAAATACCGGTGGGATTTCCCCCTCAGATTTAATTCATCCAGCCCTGCACTTCATTTCCTTTATTCAAGATGCTCTCGAGTGAGCAGCTCATTTCCCTGGCAACAACTTCCTGGCACATCCCGTGCATTTAATTCCTGAAACAGTGACTCCTCTGGGCTGGGGGTTCCTTTTGTCCCTGCTGCAGACGTGACAAGGCAGCGATGGAGTCCCCAGGCTGAGCTTTTCTCAGCGCACATCCTGCCAGCCCAAAGGCCCGGGGCTTTTGGGGCGGGCCATACCTTGTGCAGGTCACCGAGGTGACTTCCCTCACCGCCACTTTTCACTTTTTCCTGTGTGGGCACCACAGGGGTTGTGTGAAGTGCTGGTGGGAAGTGAAAACCGGTTCCACGCAGCCCTGGGACACCTGGCTGTGATGGAGAGGCTGCTGCTCTCGGGGCTGCAGGGGAGCAGTGAGTGACCCAGCCTTTCCAAAACCTGACAATTCTCCTCACCCAGACCTCTCTGCCCCTGGATCTCAGGCTGATTTTTGCACAGTCGGCCGCAACAAAGTGCAGAAGCTGAAATCTGAAAGGCTCCAAGAGCTGCGATGTCATGAACCAGGAAGAAATAATGGTTTGCCAAGCTCTTTATGCAAATCCCCTGAGTGGCTGGAGCTGGAGGAATCCTACAAAGGCTGGGAGAGGGAATGAGAGGGAATGTGCAGGTGTGTGTGCACACACAGAGCTCCAGCCCCTCCTCCAGAAGGGATGGGGCTGCCCAGGTGTGCTTCCATCCCGGAGGGAGTGACTTTTCTGGAGCAGCAGCTCTGCTTTCTCCCTCTATTCCTCACATTCTCACTCCTTTAGGTCACTGCTGCAGCTGCTCTGACTGAATGTTCCTTTCCCCCATCCTCACCAGCCTGTGACACTCAGATTTTGGCCCAGAGATTTCAGTCCTGGCAAATAAAAAACCATTGAAAGAGAAGGTACAAAGCCAACACCGCAATATTTTACTCACTGCTGAACCAGTGGCTGCTTGTCGTGCTCTCCTCTGCTGCAGCAACTCCTTGACTGTGATCTTGACTCTCACACCTTGGTACACCTTGGGCTTTCCTGGAAGAATTTGTGGGAAAACACTTTGCAAGGAGGGAGAATCTCAGAGCAAACAGCAAATCCAGCAGCTTTTCAGTGTGCTCTATGTGGAGAACAGTTTTAGACTTAACATGACTAATTTTTAGTCTCTGTTTGCAGTCACACTCACAGCCCTCTTCAACACCTGCAATTCCAGCTTGGGACAAGCAGACACTCATGAAAATCTTGCTGTTGATAATATTTTAAAACCACATGTTTATTCTTCTCTATCTCCTTCTTCCCCTGCCCCCCTTCCAGCTTCCCCAATACCAAGCTCCATCTGGTGCTGCTGTTGGACTCATTTAAATTCCTGACATATTTGCCTCTCTCAGGACCTGAAAATAAATTTGGGAAGTGTTTCATCTGGCAGATGAAGCCCAGGAATAAAACAATGGAAATATGTGGGTGGTTATTCAGAGAGCTCAACAAAACACGAATAAAATTACTGTTTTCTTACAAAGCCTAGATTATCTCTTTATTCTGCTCATGTACAGCCCCTATTTATTTCAAACAAGAATTTAGGGTGTGTTTAATCCAGCCAAAACCAGCCAGAAATCACCAGTCACGACCTAATGAGGGATTTTTAGGACAGAAAATGATAAAGAATTTATTTCTTCTGAAAAACCACTTTCACTTGTTGCACTCATGGTAAAACACTCAGCTCCTCTGGCAGCTGTTCCCGTCCTAAGTTTCTGCTGGTGTTTTAATTGAAATCACACAATAAAAGGAAACACACCCAGACTGGTCTCTACACTCAAAAAATACCAGAGCAGGGAGCAGACAGCCCTGAAGGAGGCACCAAAAATAAACTCCCAGCAGGAGACCAGCAGTGCCAGAGCTAAACCCGGCCTTCCAGTGCCACCTCTGGGCACAGAACACCTTGGAGAACCAAGGGAGCTGCATGGTGCCAGGAGATCCTGGCACAGAAACAACGCTGGGTTTGCAGATCTGCCCACACAGCCAGGGAATCCTGCACTGCAGGCACTGTCCTCTTGTGCTGGAACCTGTGCTGCCAGTGCCCCCGGGGTGATCTGGGGGAGGACAAGCTGGGACAGGCACCCCGGGCCCTCCAGAGAGTGACAGGGCTGCCCTCGGGGCGGTTTGCTGAGCTGGGACCAGCTGGGGATTATTCAGCTCGTGTTTTGGTGCTTTGTTTCTGTTCAACAAGCTAGCGGATAATGAGACAGGGAAGGGTGGGATTGAAGGAGAACACGTCGGGTTAACAAAGCTCCCTGCGGGCAGGGAGGGCTCTGAGGTGGCAGGGCCAAGGGTGGGATGGTGAGGGTGGGCACAGGGTGGGCAGGGCAGGTGGGGATTCAGGAGCAGGGTGACAATGACAGGCTGGGGTGGGGTTGGGGTCGAGGAGCAGGGTGGGCAGGGTGGGCTGGGGGTCAAGGGCAGGGTGATGGATTTGGGGTTCAGGGGCAAGGTGATGGACTGGGGGTCAGGGAGGAGGGTGGGTCGGGGGTCAGGGAACAGAGTGATGATTCTGGGGCACAGAGAGCAGGGTGATGGGGCTGGGGGTCCAGGGGCACAGAGACGGTGCTGGGCATCGAGGGAAAGGCTGGGAGGGTGGGTGACAAGGACAGGGGGTGGACTTGGAGAGTGGGGCTGGGATTCAGGGGCAGCGTGGCTGGGGCGGAGTGTGCGGGGAGGGCACAGAGAGATGCAGGGTGGGCACACAGGGATGCAGGGAGGGCACAGATGCAGAGAGGGCATACAGGGATGTGGGGTGGGCACACAGGGATGCAGAGAGGGCACAGAGGTGCGAGATGGGAACACAGGAATGTGGGGAGGGCACAGATGCAGAGAGGGCACCCAGAGGTGCGGGGTGGGCACAGAGGTGCAGAGAGGGCACAGATGCAGAAAAGACACCTAGAGGTGTGGGGTTGGCACACAGGGATGCAGGGAGGGCACAGATGCGAAGATACCCAGAGGTGCGGGGTGGGCACAGATGTAGAGAAGGCACCCAGAGGTGCGGGGTGGTCACAAAGGGATGTGGGGTAGGCACAGATGCGCGGGGTGGGCACCCAGATGCGCGGGGTCCCCTGTGCCCCCCCGGCCGGGTGTGCCAGCCCTGCAGCAGCCCCGCTCGGTGCCCGCGGAGCCCCGTGCCGAGCCGGCACCCGGCGCTGGCACCCGGCGGGCAGCAGCCGATCGTGCCGTGCCTCCTCCCTCCCTCCTCCCCGCCCTCCCCGCTCCCTCCTGCCTTGGCAGGCGGCATCGCCTCGCTGCCGGAGTGACCCCGGCGAACCCCGAAACGGCCCCAAAGCGGGGTGCGGGGGCGGCGGGGGTGCGGACGGAGCGGGGCTTACCGGACATGCCGAGCCGGAGCGGGCAGCGCCTCGCCAGGTGCCCGGTGCAGCAGCAGAGGTGGCCCCGGCCCCACAAGCTGGCCAAGGGGGCAAGAGGAGTCAGCCTCGAAATTTGGGGGTGAGGGGACCTGCCTGCCCGGTGGCAATGGCAAGTGGATCCCGACAATATTATTGTTTTATCCCTACGGGTATAAGTTTGAGTTTTTCTCTCCTAATGCCAAGTATTTAAAACCTCTAGAAACCAATGATTTGACAATCAATGATTGCGCGATACTTTCAATTTGAATATTCAAAGGCTCCACAAAATGGGCTATCTTTTTGTGAAACTGAGCACATCCCCATCTAGCAGAGGGTCTGGGGGAATAGGATTTGGTGGGGTCACCCTCCCCACCCTTTGCTTTTGGGACATTTGCAGGGTTTTATCCATCTTTCCCTGAATGAAGCAGATGCCTCCAAAGCAGCTCAGTGTTTTCCCCTCAGATGCACAGGCTGGGCTCCAGCCCTCTCAGATTTCATTTGCTACCTGCACTGAGCACTCTGCAACGGACTGACTTGCTTTTTGCACATTTTTTCACATTTTAAGGCTAAATTCTGAGGTTTTGGGGCCCAAATGGCAGCGGGCAGGCGTGGCCTAACAAAGAGGCTGCCCTGGGCACCTGGGTAGCTGAAGTTAGCTGGGCCCACTTGTCCCCACAGCATTCCCTCCCTCTGCCTGGATGCTGGGCTCACCCTGGAGTTTATTTGAGCTTTCCCCCAGTTCAGGCTGTTTGTCTGTGCTGCACAAATCGGCCTTTTCCTCACAAAGCCCAGTGCTGGCCTGCCCTGGGAGCTGCAGCTGTGGGGTTCAGCGTGTGGCTCAGAGTTTTGGGATGAACATCCCCTCCCAGCACTGCTGGAATTGGGTTTTTAGGCTGCTTTTAAGCTTTTCCCTGGGGACCACAGCCTGAGGCACGGGCAGGAGTGAGGCAGAGAGCAGGCCAGGCTGTTAATCATCTACCAGCAGCTCAGGCTGGCTGTTGTCACAGCCGAATCTTTTTTTTTTCTTTTTTTATTTTAAGTTGAACAAATAACACTTGATTTCTGTGGGGAGTGAGGCCATTCCTGCCTCTGAAATGTGCCCCTGCAGCTCCTGGTAGGCCCAGCCTTGCCTGGGACAGCTTTATAGGGACACAGCCCGCCAGGAGAGGAGCCCACCCAAGGAATGTGCTGTGCAGGGAGGGGAGGGGGTTCACTGAGGAATTTGGGATCTGAAACCCTTCCCTTAGTGGGGCTGGAGCTGCTGTGGGTGTGTGCAGGCTGCAGGGAGCTGGAGTGGTGATTGTTTACCCCTGAAAGCAAAGAGCAGAGCCTGCAGGCTGCCAGCTCCAGCCCTGGGGGAGCTGGGTGCCCTCAGGAACCAGGAGGCAGCAGAGTTCTGGCTGTTCCTGGGCCTCAGAGCCTTTCCAGGATGAGGAAAACCCTGCCTGCGTTAGGAGTGAGTGCCTGAGTGGGTCAAATACCTTAAAGACAGCTCCAAACCCTGTCCCTGCTTCTGCCCAGGATCTGAGGGCAGCAGAGCCACCATGGCCTGGTTCAGGGCCTGACCTTCAGCCCCTGGCAGAGGGAACAGCTCAGGCCCTGGGGGAGTCACTGGATGGTCACTGGGGCTCAGCCAGCAGTGACACCTCCCCAGGTGCCAAATTGAACATTTTCCAGCCACAAGCTGAGAGCTGAAGCAGGATGGAAGGGCAGCTCTGGCTGTTCCAGGGCTGCAGAGCATTTCCAGGCTGAGGAAATCCCTGCTGGATGCTGGACTCAAACACCTCAAAGACACCTCAAAAACCCTGTCCCTGCTGCTCAAATCCCCAGGAAAACCCTGCCTGGGTTAGGAGTGAGTGCCTGAGTGGGTCAAACACCTCAAAGACAGCTCAAAACCCTGTCCCTGCTTCTGCCCAGGGCCTGAGGGCAGCACAGCCACGCTGGCCTGGTGGCCCTGCTTGCCTGGCACAAGGAACAGCTCAGATGGACACTGGGGCTCAGCTGAGGGGTGAAAAAGGCTCAAACTGGGCTCAGGTTTGGGGGAACAGGGCTGTATGTAGGGTCAGGAGAGCTGCAGACACCTAAGGGGATGGGAGAACAGCTCTGGTTTGGGGCCAGGAGAGCTGCACACCCTGAAGGGATGGGGGAACAGCTCTGGCTGGGCTGGGCCACCCCTGGAGGCTCCACAGCTGCCACTCTGAGTGGAAGGGGCTGGGAAAGCTTCAAATTCCCCAGGATTTAAGGAGGAAAGGCAAGGAAGGATTGAAGCGCCTCATCCATTGAAAGCTCCTCATCCCCACACATTCCCTGGGGCTGGAATGTTCCAGAGCCTCCTGCTGCTGCTGCTGGGGGTGCCAGGTTTAGGGGTGAGCTGGGCCGAAGGGGGTGACCCCTCCGGGGACAGAGCTGGGTGTGCAGCTCTGGGAGGGCTCCATGGCGGTGTTCGTGTGTGCAGAGCTACCTCTAGCGGCCACGGGGCTGGCGACCGGTGCCACTGGCACTGCCGGCACACCTGGATGTCCCCGGGGCTGGCTGTCGGTGACATTGGCACTGCCAGCCCGCCTGGATGCCCCTGGGGCTGGTTACCAGTGCCATTGGCATTGCCAGCCCACCTGGGTGCCCCCGGGGCTGGTGACTGGTGCCATTGGCACTGCCGGCACACCTGGATGTCCCCGGGGCTGGCTGTCGGTGACATTGGCACTGCCAGCCCGCCTGGATGCCCCTGGGGCTGGTTACCAGTGCCATTGGCATTGTTAGCCCACCTGGATGTCCCCAGGGCTGGTTACCAGTGCCATTGGCATTGCCAGCCCACCTGGGTGCCCCTGGGGCTGGTGACTGGTGCCATTGGCACTGCCTGCAACCCTGGATGTCCCCGGGGCTGTCCTATTGGCACTGCCAGCCCACTTGGATGTCCTCAGGGCTGGCTATCGCTCCCCCTTCCACTGCCAGGCCACCTGGATGCCCTTGGGGCTGGGTACTGGTCCCGTTGGCACTGCCAGCCCTCCTGGATGTCCCCAAGCAGCCCACCAGGTGGATGTGGATGTGCTGTGAGCTCATTCAGGGCAAAAGGGGTGTTGAGGATGGAGTATTTGGTGCCCTTCAGGGACGGTGAGGCTTCGTCGGGCGTGGGTCAGCAGGCAGGGCAGTGCCCACACCCTCCAGAGCCCCCAAACCATTTAGGCTGGCAAAGCCCTCTGAGGAGGGATCCTTGTTGCAGAAAAAACCTGCAGAGCACAGAGGGTTTTAACTTGGTATTTTACTGTGGTTTTTCAGGCTGGTATTTTACTTGTGGGGCTGGGAGAAATCCCTTTCTGGAGGCACCAGAAGGCACCACCTGAGCTCAGTGTGGTGTGTCCAGTGATTGTGTTTCTGACCAGAGCACAAAGCATCACGCTTGAAGGAGCAGCTTTAGGAAGGTGTCTCAGAGATATTTTCTGAAAAATCTTTTAATTAGGATCTTTTCTTCTGAGAGGCTGGGAAGCTTCAGCTTCTCCCTGTTTTGCTGCTTTGGAATGTGATTTGGAGAATATTTTACTTAACATGTGAATTTGTTTTTATTTGATGACTAATGACAGCCACCTGTGTCGAGGCTGTGAGCAGTCACAAGGTTTTATTGTCATTCTGTTATTTTCTTTGCTAGCTTTCTGATGAAATCTTTTCTTCTATTCTTTAATACAGTTTTAAAATATAATTTTCTTTTAATATAAGATATATCATGAGATAATAAATCAGCCTTCTGAAACATGGAGTCAAGATTTTCATCTCTTCCCTTGTCCTGGGACCCCTGCGAACACCACCATAGGAAGGAGGGTAAAATTTGCTTTATGATGGTCTGGTTCTCTTTCCTCCAGCTCTTCTCTCTCCTCAGTAAGTTCTCCTGCCTTCATAAGTCCCCCAGAGGGCACTTCCATCCTCTTTGGCCCAGGCAGAATGCTCGGGAAGGTGTGGTGGCTCCGAGGGTGGCTCAGGGCACAGGTGGCTCATCCTGGAGGGCTCGCTGGCCACGGCCATGAACGGGGACAGGCTGTAGGGAGAGGTGGCAGCGTAGCTGGGGGAGTAGTGGGCGTCTTCAAGGGGGTGCAGAGGGTAGGGCTGGGCTCCAGGGAGGGCTGGGCTCCAACCTGAGCCTCGGAACGGGGAAGCAGCCCCGGGTTCGGGCAGGGAGAGGCAGCTGGAGGTGGCAGGGAGCGCCTGCAGGGGCTCCGAGCAGGCACTGTCAGGCTGGCCAAGGCTCTCGGGTGAGGGCTGCTCCCAGGGCTCTCTCTGCAGGGAAACAGGGAGAGAAGGCAAGGAGAACGCTTAGGAACAAAAGCCTGTCCTGGAGGGAATGGAATATCTATCCCTAGGAGTGCCCAAAGGGTTTCTGTGGCTCTGGAGCAGTGTTGGGTGTTTAAAATGTGAAAGGGAACATCCCTCCTGTCAGCAGTGTTTGGGGCTTGAGCTGTGCAAGGGAACATCCATCCTGTTAGCAGTGTTTGGTGTTTTAAGTGTGAAAGAGAGCATCCATCCTGTCAGCAGTGTTTGGGGTTTTAAGTGTGAAAGGGAATGTCTATCCTATCAGCAGTGTTTGGTGTTTTAAGGGGAATGTCCATCCTGTCAGCAGTGTTTGGGGTTTTAAGTGTGAAAGGGAACATCCATCCTATCAGCAGTGTTTGGTGTTTTAAGTTTTAAGGGGAATGTCCATCCTATCAGCAGTGTTTGGGGTTTTAAGAGGAATGTCCATCCTGTCAGCAGTGCTTGGGGTTTTAAGTGTGAAAGGGAACATCCATCCTGCCAGCAGGGCCTGGGGCAGGGTCCCAGTAGGACTGACCAGCCCTGATCCCACAGGATCCAGGAGCTCTGTGGTGGGGCTGTGAGTGGAGCTGGGATAGGGAGCCTGGAGTCACCAAGGGATGTTTCTAGAACCTCAGGGAGGGAGAGATTCATAAAACCATAGAATCACAGAGTTATCCTGAGCTGGAAGGGACCCACCAGGACCATCAAATCCTGCTCCTGGCCCTGCACAATCCCACCCCGAGCCTGGGGGCAGTGTCCTGTTCAGAGCAGAACGGGAGTGTCCAGGGAGGTCTCCAACAGGAACAGGGGACAATGAGATGGAACCAAAGAGAAAAACCACATTTAGATGGAACCAAAGAGAAAAACCCTCCCTGCAGAGCCCCGCCCCACCTGCCATGGCTGCTCCTGTGACAGCCACCTCCTTCCCCCACGAGCCCCCCTGACTGAACCCCACATTAGAGGGGGTGACCCTGCCCTGGGGACAGAGCCATGGAGGCACTCACGAGCAGGAAGTGTCCCGTGTCGCTGGGGAAGGATGGCAGCAGAGGGGGCACGGCTGGAGCGCTGAAGAAGGAGCTGGTGGCAGCCGGGAGAGGAGGAGGAGCAGCACGGTGATCCCCGAACTGCTCGCTGAGATAGGGCTCCAGGAGGGCTGGGCAGCCCTGGGGGGCAGAGGGGTCGCAGGAGAAGGGCTTGGAGGCCAGAGGGGAGGAGTAGGCATCGCTGCCAAACTGCTTGGTGCCGTGGAAATCCAGCTCGGGTGGGAAGGGTCTGCGGACGCCGTAGTAACCAGCGGTGGTGGGAGAGCCTGGGGACAGAAAATGAGGTGGGAAAGGGAAAAGAAAAGTGTAAAGAAAATTCTAACAGCTGCCACAGAATGATGGACACCCCTGTGGGTGCAAAGCAGAACTCTTTTCTCTCCACCATCACCCAGGAACCCACCCTGTGGCACTGTAGGACACCAAACAACACGAGCACACACTGCTGCTCTCAAGGTGAAAAGGGAAGTTTAATTTCTGACTCCAACATTTATAGATTTCCAAAAGTGACAGTGGATTGGAGGGTGACAGTGCCAGCTCTCCAATGACACCGGACAAACCAACAGCCCATCAAATTTCTCCTCCTCCATGAAGGAATGCAAAACAATGAATAAATAAACACACTTTATTTACAGAAAGTGTGTGAGCAAGTTTGCTACAAGAATGTAAACATCAGAAAGCTTAGAAAAGCTTAAAAATTCAGGGTGACATCCCTGCCTTGACACAGGTGTGAGCACAGGGGTGCTTTTGGTTCCACCTGGTGACTCCATCTGCAGCAAACCCAAAGTGCTGGGGGAGCTTTAAATAGGCGGGCAGGGGGATGGAGGTCAGCTCAGGCTGTGCTTCCTCCTCGCTGTGCCACAGCCCTGGGGAGGAGGTTCCAGCCTCACTCTGCTCTCCCTGCCCGAGAGCCAAGGGATGAAACAGGTCAGCTCCTGCTTTTGTGCCTTCTCTCTGCAGCTCCAGGGAAAATGGGAAAACACAGGAGGAAAAGGAGCTTCGGGGAAAATGGGAAAACACAGGAGGAAAAGGAGGGGTTCTGCACAGCTCCTCTGCTAAAGGAGGTGGGAACTGCTTTAATTACTCCGTTTGAGGATTTTATACAAATTATTGCTGGTTTTTTTTTTTTATTATTCTTTTAATTACTTTCCTCCTGGGCTCCCTCTGAGGGGTGGCCCTGCTCTGGGGCATGTTCCACATCCTCTGGAGGAGAACAGAAGGGCTGTGCCAACCCTCCCACCTGCAGGGAAGGTGTTTAGCATGGAGGGCAAACCTCACCTGGCATTTGGCCAAAGGGCGACTGTGCTGCGCTGGTGCTGCCCTGCAAAAGATAAAGAGATGTTTGAAAGAATGACTTTCCAAAGCAAGGCAGTTCTCTGAGTGGGATTCACACACATTATTTGAGCCTGGCTGCTGGGAAGGGTTTAACTCCATGATTTCCTCACAGGAATTAACAGATGTAGGCTAAGCAGAGATTGTGAAGGTCTTGAGCAGAGCTGCTAAGAGGAGGACTATCAAGATAACTGGCTTCTTCCTCCTGTCCCACAGGGTCCCTCAAGGCAGGCAGAACACTGAGGAGTCCTTGGGTGCTGGCACAAACCAGGCAAGGTGAGATCTGAGTGGCCGAAAGGGGCAGATTCCAACTCAGCTGGGCTGGCTTTGCTGCCCCAGGGCTGCTTTACCTGGCCCTTCCTGGCAGGGTGGGTGGAAAGAGAATTCCTAAATCCTGTTTGGGTCCTACAGCAATGGTTATGATGATGATAATAATAATAATCATCATCATCATCATCCTCTCCTCTTGTTCCCAGGTAAAAGAGAATTATCCCTGGAGTGACCCTCCCAGCGCCTAATTCCTTACAAAGCACTGAGCAAAGGCATCTGCTCCTTTGGAATCCCCCTGAGCTCTGGTTTGGGGGCTCCAGAGAGGAACAGAGAGCCGCCAGCTGCACTGCTGTCACTCTGCTGTCACTCTGCTGTCCCCTGCCATGCTGGTGGCACGCTCTGTCCAGTTTGCATAGTGCAAACAGGAGGTTCCTGCCACAGCAGGCAACCAAATTTCGAGGTTTGGATTTGAATTAAATTTGCCAGCTCTGAGGACTTCCTTCTGCTGCAAGGGAAGGTTTGCAGCTGCTCCCTGCTCCACCATGGAAATGAGCCCTGAGCCTGCACGGGCCACACGGCCTGCAGAGGTGACAGGAGGTGACAGGAAGGAGCCCCTGGGCTTGTGGGCAGAGGAGTGTCCTTGTCACACGGGCAGGGCTTGCACCTGCCCCCAGCTGAAGCCATCCCATGCAAATCCAGGTCACTTTTAGAGGGAAAAGCCAAGCTGGGAGGTTCAGATGCTGCCCAGAGCACAAGGGGATGCAGGGATGGGAGCTGGGATGCTCTGCCAGCTCCCTGGGCACAGCTGGCAGCCTCCAGCAGGGATCATTTCCAGTTACCAGAGCATTTAATCTTTGATCCTGTCTGTTCAACAGCCCCTGGACCTGCCTGGCTGTGTGTACACACCTGTGCTGAGGAGTCCCAGAGGTGCCAGGAGCCACCAGGGCTTTGCCTGCCTGAATTCACTGCAGGAGCCTCTGCTGCAGCCCATCCTCGGCCTCATCAGAGCAGAGCCCTGCATTTCATTCCCCTCTTGCTCCTTATCAGCCTTAATCGAGACCCATTAGTTCATTTCCTCCCTGCAATGCTTCCTTTGCCGGCCGTGGCAATGGGAGCCCGGGTCTCCTGCAGCTCTGCTCAGCCTCCCTGGGGCCCAGAGTGTGTCCAGCTGCTGATAAGCTGGGCTCAGCCTGCCCTGCCCGTGGCCAGCCACAGATCCTGCCTGAGATTGCTCTGCTGCTTCACTGCCTCCTAACTCCCCTACAAACCTGCCTAAATTCAAGGGTCCAGCTCCAAATGATGACCTGGCCCCGCCCTGTGGCAATGCTTTGGCATCAGGGCATCCCCTCTCTGGGGGAGTGGAGCAGCTGAAGGAGCAGAAATCCTCCATACAAGCAAAGCTGGGCCTGGGCAGGGCAGTGCTGGCTGTGTGTGCCTGCCCTGGGAGTGCTGAGCAATGAATCCTCTTTAAACCACAGCACTGCACTGCTTCACCTGTGCAGGCACCTCAGAGAAGACAGGAATCCTTTCACCCTGCAGAGGACACCTGCAGGCTCACACCTATGCAAAGGAAAATCCAGAGCCTCCCTAAATCCAAGCCCTGAGCCCTGATTTTGGGTGGGTTTCCTCACAGCACCCCCTGATTTCCATCTCTCCATGTGTGCAGGGCCTGGCTGCCAGGAAATTGTTGACACCTCATCCCAAAACTCTGCTCTGCTGAGGGTGAAGGCTGAGGAGAAGCTTAGATGGAGGTAGGACACAAAGAAAGTTATAGGGTGGGAACTATCATTTGTTGAGTCGAAATCAACTGTTTTAGGTAGACTAACTTTCTGTTACTCTGCTCATTCTAATCTGCCTTGAACTCAAAGTTAGACTAACTTTCTGTTATTCTGCTCATTCTAATCTGCCTTGAATTCAAAGTTAGACTAACTTTCTGTTATTCTGCTCATTCTAATCCACTTTGAATTCATTCATAGACTACTCCTAGGGTAAGGAGGAGGATGAGTGAGGAGGTTCAGGCTAAGGTGGTGGTAAGGCCTGGCACCACCAACTGCCCAGGGCTGGTTTAATTCTGGACCAAAGATCACCCTCAAACAAAAGATGCAGCTAAATGACCCTGCATCACCAACAGCCACAGGGGCGTTCAGTTATCTGCCCCTGGCTTGTTTTCTGGTTATATTCTGCCAGACAAACAGAGCTGCCCTCCCAGCTGCTCTTTTCATGATACGTCCAAGCAAATACGGATGTTTGCCCTGCACAATCATTTTTTGTCTCTTGCAGGGAATGAGCAGCAGGGCTGGTTTTGCATCACACACACAATGCTGGGCTCGGAGCACAAAGCCCAGGGCAATAAAGCCAGGAGGTTTTACAGTCCCAGGGCGTTTCCTCTGTGGCTGTTGAAGCTGCCGCCTCCGCACAGGGAGCGGGTCACTGGCGACAGCACCAACAGATGTTTTCTCAGCTGCTTCCCAAGAACTCTGCCAGGACCCAGCACATCCCTCTGGCTGTCCTGAGCAGCCCAGACCCTGCCAGGGGGCTCAGAGACCCTGGCACAGAGCCCAAAATGCCCCTGTGGGTTTGATTGTGACCTGTGGAGCAAACTACCAACCTTGTATGAGGATTAGCAAGCCACAACAGTTTAGGTAGAATGATAGTGAAGTTATCACAGGGTGGAAAAGTAGATTTTGGGGTTTTTGGTATGGGGGTTCAGGAGGCAAGATGGAGGGATCTGGGCGTGTCCAGCCTTTCTCCTTCTTCTTCTTGGCCTCCATCTTCTGCTGTGATGGTGGCACTTTTGGATTGGTTTAGAGTAGAAGCTCACTGTCTAACATAGGTGATGGGTATTGGGAAGTTATGGTAAATAATGTACATGAATTTTTAGTATAAAGACATAACACTGCCCTGGGGGCAGGCAGAGTGCCTGAACTGTGCTGCTGGACGGACCTCTGCAGGGCAGGAGAAAAGTTTTTACAGATAAGACACAATAAACAACGTTGAGATGGAGAAATGAAGAGCCCTGACTCCTTCTTCAAGCGCTGGGCTGGGAAAAGAGACTTTCAAACTCTTCTCGGGGTCACTCTGACAAGCTAGAGATCCCAACAGAACTCCTAAATATCTGCCTGCTGGGAGTGTGCCCTGCCCTGTGACTCTTCCTTCAGGGGGCTTCTGCCTCCCTCTAGCAGCTGAGCCTGTGGGGATGGATGAGTGGCTGGATTTTGCTGTTTGGTGATGCTCAATCCTGTTTTGGGATATTTTTCCTGCCTGTTTTGTTGCAGAGTTAGTGGGCCTGAAAGTCACAGCAAGTAAGTCACTGTGAGGCTCCTTCAGTATAAAAAAGAAGGCAGAGGTGAATGGTTTTTGAGGAAAAAAGCATCAGAACTCCCAATTTCTGCTGTCAGTGATTCCAGGCTCTGCTCCCTTTCTCTCCTTGCAGGACTCAGCTCCTGCTCCTGCTCCTCTGCCACTGTCCCAGCTGGAGGTGGGGAGCTTTTCCCAGCACAGGGGAGTGCCAGGAGCACCCAGGGAAGGTTCCTCGTGCCACTGGATGCCACCACATCCTGCCACCACAATATCGTGTCCCCTTCTGGATGCCACCACATCCTGCCACCACAATATCGTGTCCCCTTCTGGGGACAGCCTCACTTTTCTGGCTAGAAATTGAGACATAAACCCAATGTAGTGCAGCAGGGCTCGGGTTTGCTGTTGCCATAGAATCACTTTGAGAGGAAATCATCTCTTCCAAGCTGATGCTTGGCCTCTTTCCAGCCCATCACATCCCTGCAGCTCCCCTGGCACCCTGAGAGGAGCTGGAAGGAGCTCAGCATTCGGGGAAGGACAGATATTTTCAGGGCACTGACTTGTCCAAGTGTAGCTGCTGGAAAAGGAACTTGGCTTGGGAAGGTGAAAGGAAAAGGGAATTTAACATCACTGCCATGCTTGGAAAAGGGAAAAAACCAGGGCTTTGAGGCATTTAAGGTTGAGAGATATGAAAGTCAAGGAGCCATCATGTTTTGGGGCATGCATTACATTAATTATATTAATTCTATCAATATTGGCAGTGTCCCAGACTGGTTTTGAAGCAGAGGGTGGGATGAGGGAATTTATGGGGTTAAAAAGGGGGTGGGGGACGGGACGGGACTCACGCTGAAGCGGGAGCCGCTGTTCTGCCGGGATCGCTTCTCAGCCAGGAGATCCTTGACCGTGTGCTTCACTCGCACCCCTTGGTACACGCGTTTGCCGAAATCTGCAGGGACTGAGCGAGGGCAGGGTTCAGGGAGAGCACAGAGCGGCCGGGAGAGGCAAATTCAGCACCTCTGTGCGTCGGGTTGGGAGGGGAAAATACAAATCTGCAATTCTTAGATCTAGAAATATAGAAGTATTTGTAATCTAAAAATATATGTATTTCTAGGTATATAAATTATCTATTATATAGAATATGTATAATTAGATATATTTTATATATTATATTTTATATATGATGTATTATATATTATATATTATATATTATATATGGTATATTGTATATGGTATATTGTATATTATATATTGATATTATATATGGTATATGGTATATGGTATATTATATATTCTATATTATATATGGTATATTATATATGGTATATTGTATATTATATTTTATATACATTATATATTTTATATATAATAGATAATAGATAAGTATATGTTATATATAATATATAATATATCTAATATATTAATATTAGATATATTTTTATATATATAATGGGAATATATATAATATATCTAATCAATTATATATAGTCCCATATATAGAAATATATAGAGAGAAAATATAGAAAATATATTTATTATATAAATAAATAGATAATTATATATTATATATATATAAATCTATATAAATATATATAGATTTATATATATAAATAAAGATCTATATATAAAAATAAATTAATTAATATATATTTATATAATAATCTACTTGTTTATTATATAAATAAATAGATTATTATATAAATAAATAGATTATTATATAAATAAATAGATAATATTAATATTAATAAAATATTGTGTGTTGATATTAATAGAATATTCTTTTGGGAAGGCACAAAGGCTCCCTGCCCTGGCACCTGCAGGGTCTGGCTCTGTTTTTTGCCCTGGAGCCCAGCGCAGCCCAAACCAGCTCTGGGTGGCTTTGGCACGAGGGATCTGCCCTCCCCCTGAGGCTGGGCTGGATTTTGGGGTTTGCACAGAGGCTGTGGCACAGGTGAGAGCTGGGGGACAATGCAGGGACAGTTTTTTATCCTGCCTGAACCCAGCTCGCACCTGTGGAGCCAGGGAGGAGCATCCACGGGGGCTTTTATTGAATTATCCCGGAAAAAACCTGCCTGCCTTTGAAGCTAATCCCTTGGAAAACACACAGGCACGCTCTCCCGGGGCAGAGCAAACTGCCGGGGCACAGCTGATGTGTTTGATCTCCAGGATTTATCATTTGGCTCTTCTGCCCCTCAGGATGTGTCCCTTGGCTCCGTTTCTGGTGCCATTGTGGCTCCAGGTGCACACACACACACACACATATACCAGGAGAGGTGGGAGGGTTTAAACAACACCCTGCTGCCTTGGCCTTGCCCCAAATAGGTTTTTTTTTATTATTTTTGAGGTCATAGCAGCTGCAAATTTGGGCAAGAGGAATTTTATGTTGGTGTTGGAGTGCTGACCAGAGAGCTTCAGCCAAGGCCAGGCACAAAGCAAACACAAAGAAAGGGAGAGATTCCCAAAAATGAGGTGAAATGAGAGTACCAAAATAAAAAAAGGCAACAAAAGTGGCCAGAAATGGCCATCAGCTCTCCCAGGTGGAGTAATTCCAGCAGGCCTGGTGCTCTGCAGGTTTCCTGACACCTTTGCTGTGCTCTGAAGGCATTAGAAAATAATTTCCACATCCCTCTGCTGTTCTGGGCTGTTGAGGTCACTTCTCTCACATCCTCACTTGTTCCTCTGCCCAAATTGTTTTAATTCAGCATCACTCAGCCCTCTAACCCTGGGCTGAAGCTGTCACACAGCTGGACCTGTTGCTGCCAGTGGATTATCCAAAAATCTTCAGATAACTCTGCCACTGGCAGCACTGGGGAAGAAAATGCTGATTCAGGCCTGAGTTTAAATCATTTCCAAGCAAACTGAATGCAATTTCACATCACTTTGATCTAACTGCCTTTTGAAAAAAAAAAGTAAAAATAAGAATAAAGCTTTGCCCTGTGAAGGAATATAAATTCAGTCTGGAGAAGGCAGAATATTAATTGATACTATTAAATTCTTGGGACATTTAAGATGTCACATATCTATTCTAGACAAATTTTTGGGTTTTTTTTTTTCAATAGGAGCCCAAGGACAGCAGAGTTTGTTCCTTCCCTGATGTTGCCATGAAGATTCCTCCGTTTCTGAGGAGCTGAGCTGCTGGAACTCACCTGCTTCCATTGTTGGTGCTGCTGACGAGTCCCAGCTCCCAGATCCTGCAGGAATTTGGGGCAGATCTGTCCCTCATCAGCTCCCCAGAGCAGAGTGAAGCCCATGCTCATAATTCCCTGGGGAAGTTCCAGCTGAGCCTGGCGGAAATGGGTTTTTAGAATTTAGGGATGTCTCCAGCACCATGCCTCCTTTGGGATTTGCTTAAATGCAAATCCCTGGATCTGTGTTTGGCTCCACTTTGCATGGTCAGTGTGGGTCCTTCCCCAGCAGCTCCTTCCTGCCTGAGCTGGCATTCCATGGACATTTCAGGAAATTTCAGGAAAGGAAAGGAAATTTCAGGGAAGGAAATTTCAGGAAAGGAAAGGAAATTTCAGGAAAGGAAAGGAAATTTCAGGAAAGGAAAGGAAAGGAAAGAGGAAAGGAGAAAGGAAATTTTATAACCATTTTATTACTTTTAAAAACAAGTGATTGGCGTTTTTCACAAGGTTAAATCCCCATCCTGTGGCTGCTTAGGGCAGGTGTTTGCTGTGCTGGCTGCAAAGCAATTCCATTGAAAAACAGAGAGAGAACAAAAGCTCAGCCACGCTTCTTTGAGATGAAAACCTCATGCCTGGGGTTTTCTATTCAAAAATCATCCCACCCACATTTTCTGGGTACTTTGGTGGAGTTGGGCACGTGTTTGCCACTCACATCAGGGCAGAGCTGGGGCTGTGGTGGGATTTGCAGAGGCTGTTGTGTGTTAGCACAACACAGTCTAAGTGTCACAGAGATATTTTATGAAAAATCCTTTTGCTAGGATCTTTCCTCCTGAGAAGCTGAGAAGCCTCAGAAACGAAATGTAAACAATAAAAAATGGGTATTTTATGATTGGCTTTTCGCAAACATTCAAATGAATATTGTATGTGTTGTGTTAGAAAGTGATGCTGTATTAATTCTCTTAAGTAGTGTGTTAAATATAGTTTTAGGTTATAACAAAATGCTAAAATAGAAATGATGCTAGGTAAGGTACCTTTTTTATGGAAGGACTTGCTGTGAGATAGCAGCCACAGGATACCTAAATCTTTCAGAGAAAAAGGGAATTTATTTATTTATTTATTTATTTATTTATTTATTTATTTATTATTAACTTATTCTGACAAGGGAGCAAATTTATTGCTCCCTTATCAGGAGAAACGAACTTGTTCCTGCCTCGCTCAGGCTTAGCGACGCCGTCAGGATTCAGAGGAAGAAGCTGACACTGCCCAGCCAGAATCCTGTGTTTGAATGGAATTTATACATCATGGATGAGCTGTATGAATATGCAACAGGCTGTTGCTTTGAAGGGTTAATCCTCTGTTAATGTGGGTCCTTTTTCGGGCTTATTTTGCCCAGAAAAGGTACCTGGACTGTCCATAACCCTTTGTTTTTATTGTCTCATATTGTCCTAATCCAAATTGTCCAAATTTTTATTACTCTAATTATATTATCATTTTTATAGCTATTTTGTTAGTATTAAAGTTTTTAAATTTTAAAAACAAGCGATTGACGTTTCCACGTTGCCATTACCCACGGCCCTAAACAGCTTAGGAACCTTTGTGCCGCAGCGCTGCTTCCCGGCGGGACCTCTCAGCCGCCGGGCACAGTCAGCGTGTTCCTGCGCGCTGATTGGCGGGCGGGCGCGCGCGGTGCATCGCGTTGCAGGGCCCCCCGCGGGGCCGAGGCGGGCCGGGCTGGCGGCGCCGCTCTCCCCGCAGCCCGCGGCTCCCGCCGGGCTCGCTACCGGTTCCGGGCGGGGTCGGCAGCCCCGGGCGGCCCCGCAGCAGCCCGGCCATGGCGCCCGGCCGTGCGGGCGGTAAGGCGGCCGTGGTGCTGCAGTGCGAGTGGCAGCAGTGCTCCTTCGTGGCCTCGGGCATGGAGGAGTTCTGCGCGCATGTGGCGCAGCACCTGCAGCAGCACCTGCCCGGCTCCGGCGGGCCCAGCGCCGACATGGACCCGCTGGGTGAGGCCCTGGGGAAAGGGAGCTCAGGGGGGCCCTGTGGCTCTGCACGAGCCCCTGACAGGAGCGGGGGTCGGGCTGTGCTCGCAGGGAACAGGACAGGAACTGCGAGAGGAAAGGGACTTGAGGAGCAGATTTGCTTAGAGAGACCTTCGGGCTGTGCTTGTGTGGGGCAGAGGAGCGGTCTGGGTTCCAGAGCAGCTGTCTGTCTGTCTGTCTGTCTGTGTTCCAGAGGAGCTGTCTGTGTTCCAGAGCAGCTGTCTGTCTGTCTGTCTGTCTGTGTTCCAGAGGAGCTGTCTGTGTTCCAGAGCAGCTGTCTGTCTGTCTGTCTGTCTGTGTTCCAGAGGAGCTGTCTGTGTTCCAGAGCAGCTGTCTGTCTGTCTGTCTGTGTTCCAGAGGAGCTGTCTGTGTTCCAGAGCAGCTGTCTGTCTGTCTGTCTGTGTTCCAGAGGAGCTGTCTGTGTTCCAGAGCAGCTGTCTGTCTGTCTGTCTGTCTGTGTTCCAGAGGAGCTGTCTGTGTTCCAGAGCAGCTGTCTGTCTGTCTGTCTGTCTGTGTTCCAGAGGAGCTGTCTGTGTTCCAGAGCAGCTGTCTGTCTGTGTTCCAGAGGAGCTGTCTGTCTGTTCTAGAGCAGTTGTCTGTCTGTCTGTCTGTGTTCCAGAGCAGCTGTCTGTCTGTCTGTCTGTGTTCCAGAGGAGCTGTCTGTGTTCCAGAGGAGCTGTCTGTCTGTGTTCCAGAGCAGCTGTCTGTTCCAGAGCAGCTGTCTGTCTGTTCCAGAGGAATTGTGTATGTCCCAGAGCAGCAGTCTGTCTGTCTATCTGTCTGTTCCAGAGCAGCTGTCTGTCTGTTGCAGCAGTCTGTCTGTCCATTGCAGAGGAGTACACGTGCCTGTGGCAGCACTGTGGTTGCTGCTCCCTGGAGCTGTCTGTCTGTCTGTCTGTCCATCTGTTGCAGAGGAGTACACGTGCCTGTGGCAGCACTGTGCTTTCTGCTCCCTGGAGCTGTCTGTCTGTCTGTCTGTCTGTCTGTCCATCCGTTGCAGAGGAGTACACGTGCCTGTGGCAGCACTGTGCTTTCTGCTCCCTGGAGCTGTCTGTCTGTCTGTCTGTCCATCCGTTGCAGAGGAGTACACGTGCCTGTGGCAGCACTGTGCTTTCTGCTCCCTGGAGCTGTCTGTCTGTCTGTCTGTCCATCCGTTGCAGAGGAGTACACGTGCCTGTGGCAGCACTGTGCTTTCTGCTCCCTGGAGCTGTCTGTCTGTCTGTCTGTCCATCCGTTGCAGAGGAGTACACGTGCCTGTGGCAGCACTGTGCTTTCTGCTCCCTGGAGCTGTCTGTCTGTCTGTCTGTCCATCCGTTGCAGAGGAGTACACGTGCCTGTGGCAGCACTGTGCTTTCTGCTCCCTGGAGCTGTCTGTCTGTCTGTCTGTCCATCCGTTGCAGAGGAGTACACGTGCCTGTGGCAGCACTGTGGTTTCTGCTCCCCGGCGAGCTCGGCCGAGCTGGTGCGCCACGTTTACTTCCACTGCTACCACACCAAGCTGAAGCAGTGGGGGCTGCGGGCCCTGCAGGGCCAGGCCGAGCTCAGCCGCTGCCAGCTGGACTTCCAGAGCCACAACATCATCCCCGAGATCCAGGAGGGCTTCCTGTGCCTCTGGGAGTACTGCGAGGTGAGGGCCGGGAACGGGGGCGGCTGTGGGGGGGCCCAGGAGGGGCTGGGACAGGAGTGAGTCTCACTGCATGTGCTCAGGGGCTGATTTGTTGTTATATTATATTAATGATATTATCTTATATTGATTATATTATATTATATTATATTATATTACATTACATTACATTACATTACATTGCATTCTATTACATTGCATTATATTACATTACATTATATTATATTATGTTATATTATATTATGTTATATTATATTAATTATACTACATTGCATTATACTATATTATACATTATTATATATTATATATACTAATCTATACTAATCTATAATTAATATATAATAAATATTAATTATATTGATTGTAGTTAATATATTTATATGTTATACTATACATTAATATTATATATAATATGTTTTATACATTTATATATGCATTAATATATATTAATGTGTAAATAATAATATAATATAATATAATATAATATAATATAATATAATACATTATATTATATTATAATATGTTACATCATATTACATTATATCGCATCATATTACATTATATAACATAATATTACATTATATCACATACATTATATATTACATTGCATTACATTACATTATATTACATTATGTTACATTATATTACATTACATTATATTATATTATACTATACTAAAACTACACTAAAGAAAGAGAAAGGATACAGACAAAAGGCTTAACAAGAATGAATAATAAAAATTCATGACTGACTCCATGTTCTCAGAAGACTGATATATTATTTTATATTAATTTTATTATATTATATTGTATTACATTGTATTATGTTACATTATATATGACATTATATTATATTACATTGTATTACATTATATTACATTATATATTATGTTATGTTATGCTACATTATGTTACATTATATTACATTACATTATATTATATTATACTATACTAAAACTATACTAAAGAAAGGTAAAGGATACAGACAGAAGCCTTAATAAGAATGAATAATAAAAATTCATGACTGACTCCATGTTCTCAGAAGGCTGATATTTTATATTATATTAATTTTATTATATTATATTATATTACATTGTATTACATTGTATTACATTATATTACCTTATATTACATTATATATTATGTTACATTATGTTACATTATATTACATTACGTTATATTATGCTATACTAAAATGATACTAAAGAAAGAGAAAGGGTACAGACAGAAGGCTTAACAAGAATGAATAATAAAAATTCATGACTGACTCCATGTTCTCAGAAGGCTGATATATTTTATTATATTATATTACATTACATTACATTACATTGTATTACATTACATTGTATATTACATGGTATTATATTACATTATATATATTATATATATATTATATATATTATATATATGCTATACTAAAACTATACTAAAGAAAGAGAAAGGATACAGACAGAAGGCTTAGCAAGAATGAATAATAAAAATTCATTACTGACTCCTCAGAGTCCGACACAGCAGGCCGTGATTGGTTTCACGTGAATTGTTTTTACTTAATGGCCAATCAAACAATGACCAGTTGGATAAAAAGTCTCCAGACCACATTCCAAAGCTGCCAAACACAGCAGAAGCAATCAGATAGTTATTGTTTTCATTTTTCTCTGACGCTTCTCAACTTCCCAGGAGAAGAAATCCTGGCAAAGGGATTTTTCAGAAAATGTGACAGTGCCATGTTACCACATTTCTCTTCACAGAGAAAAGCGAGGCACAGTTCTTCCCGAGAATATTCCTGGGTTTCACATTCTCTGAACCTCAGAGAAAGGAAACACAGTTCTTGTCTCGTTTGCTGTGCCTGTGTATGTGCCAAAGCAGAATGCAATGTGGAGATTGTTTACCCACAGTGATGGGGTTTTGTTTCCTTGCCCTGTCAGGGTGTGTGTGTGTTGGGACTGTGGGCTGGCACTCACGAGATTCAGTGCAGTTGAGTGCTTGGCAGATTCAGTGTAGCTGTAATGTAACATAGTGCAATATAATATAGAATAATACAGTATAATAAAGTAATTAATTAGCCTTCTGATAAGGTGGAGTCAGAGGCATCATTCTCTCCCCTTGTCACGGCAAAAATATCATCTCTGCTGCTGTGCTGCACAACAACATGCTCTGTCTGGAGCCATGTGGGAGCATCTGGGCTGGTTCTGGTCTCTCACCCTGCCCTGTGTGTCCTTGTCCCCTCAGAGGTCGTTTGACAACCCCGAGTGGTTCTACCGGCACGTGGAGGATCACAGCTTCTGCTCCGAGTACAAGGCAGCTGGGAAGGAGAACCACGTGCTGCTCTGTGGCTGGAAAGGTTTGTGGGAGCCCCCAGGGCCTCTCCTCAGAGCTTTGGGCTGGGTGGCAAACATGGGAACAGGTTTCAGAGAGCTCCTTGGCCTTCAAAAATAGGTTTTGAAATGCCATGAAATATTCCTGCAGAAATATTTCCCTCAGTTGAGTGTTCAGTACAGAACTTCCTATTCATGTGTAGTCACTACCTTGGAGAAGAGGCTTCAGCTGATTTATTTTGATTTTGATTTTTTTTCCTTAATTTCTCCCATGTTTGAGCAATTGCTTTAACTGCTTGGGTGGGCCACACGGGTTGTACTGTGGTAGAACCAGTACCACCACACTGGTGAGAGAGCTTTGGGCTGGGTGGCAAACAGGGTTTCAAAAAGCCCCTTGGCCTTCAAAAATAGGTTTTTTATTTCCATGGTTTTGATCATGAAATATTCCTTCAGAAGTTCCCTCAGGGAATCCAGTTGAGTGCTCAGAACTCCCTATTTATGTGTAATCAGTACCTTGGAGAAAAGGCTACAGCTGATTTCTTTTACTTTGACTTTTTTCATTAATTTCTTCTATTTGCAATTGCTTTAACTGCTTGAGGGGCCACACTGGTTGTACTGTGCTAGAACCACTTGTGATCTCCCTGTGCTGATCTCACCCTGCTCTGTGGGGACTTCGGAGCCTTGCTGGCCCAAACAGGATGAGGAATCTGCTGTTGAGTGAGGCTGTGTCCCTTGGGAGGGCTCTCAGCTGTGCTGTCCCTCCCCAGACTGCAACTGCAGCTTCAAGGGCCGCTGCAAGCTGCGGGAGCACCTGCGCAGCCACACGCAGGAGAAGGTGGTGGCCTGTCCCACCTGCGGGGGGATGTTTGCCAACAACACCAAGTTCTTCGACCACATCCGCCGCCAGACCGCCCTGGAGCGTAAGCCCTGGGGCAGGGAGGGGCTGGGGAGGGCTGCCCTGGGCTCTTGGGGTTGCTGGAGGTGCCTAAACCCAGTGAGCCGAGGGCAGGGTGTGCTTGGCTGCTGAGTGTTGGCAGCCCCAGAATCACTGAGATGGGAAAAGACCTCTGGGGTTGATCCTCACCGTGTGAGCCAGCCATGAGGGGAGGGACTCTCCCACCCCTCTGGGCAGCGGCAGCGAGTGGGCAGGGCCTCAAAGGGGAGGGGCGGGGCCTGGTACTCCCTTCCAGCATCTGACCATCCTTTTCCTGAAGAAATTCCTCCTGAAATCCCACCTGAACCTCCCCTGGCCCACCTTTAGTCTGTGTTCCCTGGGAAGTGTCTCCTGGCAGAGGCAGGATGGAGGCTGTTCCTCCTGTGGGGACCCAGGGCTGCCCACCAGGGATTGCAGCCCCCTGGAACCCCTCTCCTCACTGCTCCCTGTGCTGTTCTCCCTGCCCTGATGTCCCCTGTGCCCCTGGTGCAGAGCAGAGGTTTCAGTGCTCCCACTGCTCCAAGAGGTTCGCCACCGAGAGGCTGCTCCGCGACCACATGAGGAACCACGGTGAGTGAGTGAGAGTGAGAGACTGAGGGCCCCTGCTCCCAGCTCAGCCCCTGGGCTGTGTGCTCTGCCCTGCCCTGCTCTGGGCTGACATTTCTCCCCGTTTTTGGCCCAGTGAACCACTACAAGTGCCCCCTGTGTGACATGACCTGCCCGCTGCCCTCCTCGCTGCGCAACCACATCCGCTTCCGCCACAGCGAGGAGCGCCCCTTCAAGTGTGACTACTGTGACTACAGGTGAGGGCCAGGGCCGGCCCCCTCCCCAGACCCCCCAGAGGCCTCTGTGTGTGTGTGTGTGTGTGTGTGTGTGTGTGTGTGTGTGTGCTGCAGCTCTGTTCCCTCGCCTTGTGCTTCCAGCTGCAAGAACCTCATTGACCTGCGGAAGCACCTGGACACGCACAGCAAGGAGCCGGCGTATCGCTGCGAGTTCGAGGCCTGCAGCTTCTCTGCTCGCTCCCTCTGCTCCATCAAACTGCACTACAGGAAGGTCCACGAGGTGGGAAGGCAGCAGAGTTTGCATTGCTCGTGGTGCCCCTTGTCAGTCTTCTCAGAGGGCTTTCTGTCTCCTTCCCTGCACCTGCGGGTGCTGACATCGCTCTGTGTCCCTCAGGGTGACTCCGAGCCCAGGTACAAGTGCCACGTGTGTGACAAGTGCTTCACACGGGGGAACAACCTCACTGTGCACCTCAGGAAGAAGCACCAGTTCAAATGGCCCTCAGGACATCCTCGCTTCAGGTACTGCTCACTCAGCTCCTCAGTGCATCCTGCGTGGTGCTGGCAGTGCCTGGGCTCTGTAAATTGTTCAGGACCCTTTCCCAGTGGCTGGGAGGGCAGTAAACGTTCAGTGGGCTCTGAGCAGTGCTGGCTGGCAGCTCCAGGGCAGTGCTGCCATCACTGCTCCCTCTGCTGGGACATTTCTGAGCTTGGCAGGGTGTCCCCCTCTAGAGAGATCAGTCTTGGGACAGAAACCTCTGCTGCACCCCCTGTAGGAAACTCCAGAGGGTTTCCAGAGCCTGAAAGCTGGGAGGGGAAGAGGATGGATGTGAAATGGTCCCAGTGAAGCAGAGTGGTGGAAGGAGGTGGGGTGGGGAGGGCATTGAGCCTGGCCCAGAGCTCAGAAGCTGCCACATGGGTGTGCCTTTGGGACTAGAGGCTGAAACACCATCTGTGCAGCACGGGGATTGAACCTTGGCTGTTGTGCCCTGCCCCTGGCTGCTGCCCATCTCCTGGGAAGGGGCTGTGCCAGGCTGACCCCTCCTGTCTGTGCCCAGGTACAGGGAGCACGAGGACGGCTACATGAGGCTGCAGCTGGTGCGCTACGAGAGCGTGGAGCTCACAGAGCAGCTGCTCAAGGACAGGGAGAAGCGTGGGGAGGCCTTGGATGGCTCCAGCGAGTGCCTCGTGCTGCCTGAGGGCGAGGGCAGCCTGCAGGGCATCCTTCTGGAGCCTCCAGCAAACCCTGCCCCGGCAGAGAACACATCAGAGCTGCCTGTGCCCCCAGCCCTGTGCTCCGCTCCCAGCCCTGAGCCAGCACGGCCCAGCCCCTTCCCAGGAGCTGCCTCCTCATCCTCCTCCTCCTCAGAGCAAGGAGCCAGCAGCAGCAGCAGCCCCATCATCCGTGTGGTGAGCAGGACCAACGAGCAGGGCCAGAGTGAGACTGTGTATTACGTGCTGGCCAGCACAGCCTCGGAGCAGCAGGGCACAGCAGCCCTGGAGCTGGAGGAGAACGTCATGGACAGGCTGCAGAAAACAGCTGAGGAGCTGGGCATCCACATCCTGTGAGGGGCTGCAGGGCACCCAGATCCTGTGAGGGGCTGCTGGGCATCATCCAGATCCTGTGAGGGGCTGCAGGGTGTCATCCACATCCTGTGAGGGGCTGCTGGGCATGTGAGGGGCTGCAGGGCATCATCCAGATCCTGTGAGGGGCTTCAGGGTATCCAGATCCTGTGAGGGGCTGCCCCTCTGCAGCAGGAGAGCTTCAGCCTCCTGGGATGTGCTGCTGGTTCTGGTCAGCATGGGGAGAGGGGAGGGACACATCCCCCACATGTGAACCAAGTGATCTGAGCTGGAAGGAGCTGTCTGCCTCCTCCTTTTGGGGATTGCAGCCTGTCAGGGTTCTCCCCTCCTTGTGGGAGGATTGGCAGGGTGGAGTGCTCACCAGCTGTGCCCTTCTGAGCCTGGTCCCCGGGCAGGATGGTGTGTGGAGCACACTCTGGTGCTGAAGCCTCTTCCCTGGGAACGTGTGGCCCTTGGCAGGCCTGTCCTGCCCATCCATGCCTTCTGCAGGGGTTTCAAGCCTTCATCAGCACTGCCTGCACACATTTCCTGTCTCACCTGCTGCTGCTGGTAGTGTTTGCTCCCCTGATCCCAGAACCAGCACTTGGCTCTGGGAGGAGGCCAGGGCAGCACTGGGACATTGGGAGCTTCTTGCTGCTTTTGGCATCCCCTGGGTGTCCTCCCCACATTGGGGTTTGGGCTCCTGCTTGGGCAGGGCGTGCTTTGGCAAGACAAATAAACATCAGGCTGCCAGGCCCAGCAGTGTCTGGTGTTTCTGTGCTCAGCCCCAGCCCTGCCAGCCGTGCTGTGGGGTGGTGCAGGGTGCGAGGTGGGCACCGAGGAGCTGCCAGGCTCTCCTGGCACTGTGCAGCTGGCACTGCAGTGTGCTGCTCCCCAGAGGTGGCACTGCAGGGCCGGGTTTAGCTCTGTTCCTGCTGTGGGGCTGAGTTTTGGTGCCTCCCCAGGCTTCGTTTGAATACAGGGGGTATCCTGGGCCTGGGAGCAGAGCCAGCTCGTCCTTTGTTGAGTGGCTGGAGCAGGACAGTGTGAATTTGGGGTCCCTGGAGTGCCCTCCCTGCCCTGTGTGTGGAGGTGATGTGCCCAGGGGACACAGCGCTGCTCTTGGCTGGGCACCGATTTCCCCCATTGCTCCCTCTCAAGCAGCTCAGCAAAAGCTGCTGGAATTCCGGGGTGTTGGGGGAAACCCCTGGATCCCAGCACCTCTGGGGAGAGGCAGGAGCTGTCCCTGGGAGCACACACTGCTGGGGGCACAGCATCCCTGCCCTGGGCACTTGCCTTGCCCGGCCTGGCCCCTGCCTTGGGCTCAGCTGCCCTCGAGGGAAGGACAGAAGGGCCCCGTGCCAGGTTTGCACTCGCAGCACTCCAGCCTGGCCCTGTTTGCAGCTCCCAGGCAGGGCTGTGCTGCTGCTGCTGCTGCTGCCTTGGGGCTGCTGCTGGAGTGTCCCTTTAAACACCGCCTCGGGCAGGCTCAGCTGCCAGGGATTATCTGCTGGGGAGAGGATTGGCATTAAAGGCAATGTCTCCTCCCTCCCCCCGTCCTGCAGCATCCCGGGCCTGGGGCGTGTGTGCAAACCAAGTTCACTTTCTCCTGGGCGAGCACAGAGGGCTCTGGGCTTGGAGGGGCGAGGGGAGGAGGCAGATGATGGCACTGGGCCTCCTCTTCCTCGCCGTGCTGGCCACGCTCACCTCCTGCCAGGAGCCAGAAGGTAACGGGGGGCTTGGGGCATGAGGGAAAGGTTTATGGGGTGCCAGTAAGGAGCAAGAGCAAGGCTTGGCACAGGGACGTGGGAGCTGAGTGGCTGCACTCACAGCAGGGCTGGGGAGGGCTGGGGTGGCTTTGGTGGGCTCCAGCACCTCCCTGTGGGGCTCTGAGGCCTGGGCAGGGCTGGCAGTGCTGTCCTTGCCCCGGTGGCCCCAGGAGGGCTGGGCAGGGCTGGCAGTGGTGTCCTTGCCCCGGTGGCCCCAGGAGGGTTGGGCAGGGCTGGCAGTGCTGTCCTTGCCCCAATGGCCCCAGGAGGGCTGGGCAGGGCTGGCAGTGGTGTCCTTGCCCCGGTGGCCCCAGGAGGGCTGGGCAGGGCTGGCAGTGGTGTCCTTGCCCCAATGGCCCCAGGAGGGCTGGGCAGGGCTGGCAGTGGTGTCCTTGCCCCGGTGGCCCCAGGAGGGCTGGGCAGGGCTGGCAGTGGTGTCCTTGCCCCAATGGCCCCAGGAGACCTGGACACGTACTGGTCTGGCACGGCCCCCATCTGCCTGGGGGGCTGCAAGGGGCGGCACAAGGAGCTGAAGAGGAGCCAGTGTGGGAACGGCAGCTGCTGCTGGCTGGGCTACAAATCCTTCTGCAGAGGTAAAGCCGGGGGATCCCTGGGGTTCTGCAGGGCTTTGTGCCACGCTTACACAAAGTGTGAGCGCCTCCAGCAGCCTGGGCCAGGCGGGGACACAGCCTGGGGCACGCTCAGCCCTGCCTGGTGACCCCTGCGGCTGTCCCGCGGCCAGCAGGGCACAGCCCCTGTCCCCTGGGGACCCCTGGGCCCCTGCCCAGGCTGCCACCCCGGCTCCATCCCTGTCCTCAGTGAACTGCGGGCGGCCCGAGGCGGATTTTAACTCGGTGGTTCACGGCAATGATTGGTGGGTGGGCTCCGTGGTGCGCTACAGCTGCCGGCCCGGCTTCGTGCTGCTGGGGGACCCCGCCAGCGCCTGCCAGTCCGACGGGCGATGGAGCCCCAAGCCCTCCTGCCTCCGTGAGTAACCCGGGGGTACCGGGGCTGCAGGCCCGGCCCCGAACCCTCCCAAGCCCGGGGGTACCGGGGCTGCAGGCACGGCCCCGAACCCTCCCAAGCCCGGGGGTACCGGGGCTGCAGGCACGGCCCCGAACCCTCCCAAGCCCGGGGGTACCGGGGCTGCAGGCCCGGCCCCGAACCCTCCCCGCCCCAGGTGAGCCCCCCGTGATGGGCTCTGCCCCCCAGGGATCTGCCTGCGGGGCCGCATCCAGCTCAGCGAGCGGGACCTCACGGGCCGGTGCTCCTCGTCGTGCGGCAGCCAGGAGCACCTGGGAGCCTCCCCCAGCCGCGGCTGCATCAAAATCTCGGGCTGTGTCACCAAGCTGTCGGGCTGGCCCCGCTGGTTCCAGCGCTGCGACATCTGCGAGTGCGACTGCCACGTGCCCTGCGGTGAGCCCTGGGTGGCACTGCCCGGTGCGAGGGGAAGGCTGGCACTGGGAGATCGGAGCTGCCAACAGCTCAAAATCCTGTCTTTGCTCTCCTCAGGTTCTTCCAGGTAGAGCTGGGCCAGCCGGGGCTGTGGCCACTGTGCTGAGGGAGGCTTCAAGCCTGGGTTCTCCTTCCCTTCACCAGTGTCTCCATTGTGCTCCTTCCACAAGCTCTGTCTGCCCGAGGATGTCATCTGAGATGTTCTGGACTCATTCTTGCAGGGGGGATCACCCCAGACTCTCCAGGGCCAGGGGATGCTCTGGGAGCAGCAGGTGCTGGGATCTGGGGGTGCCATCACCCATTTCCCTGGCTGCTTCCCAGAGGGGGCTCAGAGCCCCTCTTGGAGGGGAGGCAGCGCCTGTGGCTGTGCCTGGTGCAAAATACCTGTCCTCCAGTGCCGCAGGTTGGGATTTCTCCGTGTCAGGGGATTCCAGGCCCTGAGCTGGGAGCTGGAGCTGCCCCCTGAGCTTGCTGGGGCCAGCAGGAGTGTGACATCTGCCTCCTGTCCCCACGGCAGGGACAGGGCAGCCTGGCCAGTGTGGCATCTGCCTCCTGTCCCCATGGCAGGGACAGAGCAGCCTGGCCAGTGTGGCATCTGCCTCCTGTCCCCATGGCAGGGACAGAGCAGCCTGGCCAGTGTGGCATCTGCCTCCTGTCCCCATGGCAGGGACAGGGCAGCCTGGCCAGTGTGGCATCTGCCTCCTGTCCCCATGGCAGGGACAGAGCAGCCTGGCCAGTGTGGCATCTGCCTCCTGTCCCCATGGCAGGGACAGGGCAGCCTGGCCAGTGTGGCATCTCCTCCTGTCCCGATGGCAGGGACAGAGCAGCCTGGCCAGTGTGGCATCTGCCTCCTGTCCCCATGGCAGGGACAGAGCAGCCTGGCCAGTGTGGCATCTCCTCCTGTCCCGATGGCAGGGACAGGGCAGCCTGGCCAGTGTGGCATCTGCCTCCTGTCCCGATGGCAGGGACAGGGCAGCCTGGCCAGTGTGGCATCTCCTCCTGTCCCCATGGCAGGGACAGGGCAGCCTGGCCAGGGCTGCAGCACCCACTGCTGAGGAACCAAGCTGCCCTGCAGCCTCCCTGGGAGTGCAGAGGGCACAAAGGTCTCATCTCCCAGGTGGGAAATCTCCCCTACAGGCTGCTGCATGGCTGCTGGTGCTGCTCCTGCCAGGGGCTCTGTGGTCCTGCCCTGAGAGCCCCTTCCTGCAGGGGCTTCTCCTCCCAGCAGCTTGGGGCCACAAAGGGGAGATGTGGCTGCAGCCAGGAGCAGCTCTGTGCCCCTTGGGGACACCTCTGGCTCCTTGATGGAAGCAGTTTTATTCCCCAGGGAAGGAGAGGGTGGTCTGGAGCACAAGAGATGGCACTGCTGAGGGTGCTGGAGGACCAGCCACGGGTCATTAAAAATATATTTGCAGGGAATCCCACAGGTTCTCCTGTCATGCCAAGAGGTTCTGCTGCCTGCTCTGTCCCCGCAGCCCTGAACACAGATGACAGAACCAGGACAGGCTCCCCCTGCCACTGTCCTGGGTGGGGACACAGCTATGGACAAGGCCACTTTAGGAAGGTCCCAGCTGGGGATTAGAGGGATGTGAAGGCCCCCATGGCACTGGGCTCCATCCCTGCCTCCTCCCACCTTGAAATGACTCTCCACAGCTGCTGGGTGCTTCATGGCCACCAGCCTGGGCCCAGCTGAGCAGAAAGGGGTTTAGGGGCTAGGGATTTAGGGATTTCGTTGCCAGGCCATTCCCCGCAGGGAGGAAAGGCTGTGGCACTGCCCAGGGCAGGGCTGGGCTGGCACCTGCACACAGGGAGGGCCCCAGGGCTGGGAGGCAGCCGGGTACAGAGAGAACCGGGTGAGCCCCACCTGGTGCCTTTTGCTCCAGAACAAGATGACTTAAGGGCCCCCATGAGGAGCTTGGCTCCATGGGTTGCTCCCTGTGCCCTCCCCAGTCTCTGCCTGGATCCCGCCCTGAGCTCTGTCCCAGCCCTAAGCTGGCAGGGGGTGGGGGAAGCTCTCCTTGGCTCAACAGATGGTTTTTTAATTAATACTCTTGCTGGTGCCACTCATTTCCATATGTCTCTGGTGTTTAAGTGCTGTGGTGGGTGCGAGGTGTGAGTAACAGCGAGGAGGGAGCCAGGCGTGGTGCTGGGGAGGTGCAGGGGGATCCTGCAGGACGAGCTGCACCAGGGAGGGTGTGCTGGGGGTAAAACCCCGGAGGGACACCCCCTGCCACCCCCTTTGTGACCAATTGTCACCCCCTGGCTGTCCCAAGCCGTGGCAGCCCTGACTGCCCACTGTGCCCGTGCTGGGGGGTCTGCACAGGGGTCTGGGGGGCAGGAGCAGCTTTGGGGTGTGTGGGGCTCCCTCAGGGGGGTTTGGGCTGCGGGGGCAGTGCCCCGATGCGGGCTCTGTGGTGCTGGGGGGTGCAGAGGCAGCGCTGCCAAACCCGCCCGTGTGCTCAGGGATGCTCAGGGCCTGCTGGCAGGCGGCGAGAGGAAATAGGGCCGGTCCCTTTAAGAGGATTTTTTCGCTGCCTGGCAGCGCTGCCCGCCCGGGCAGAGCCCATCCATCCATCCATCCATCCATCCATCCTGCTCCCCGCCCGGCAGAACCGGCCACGGGGCTGGGAGAGAGGGGAGCCCCGAGCAGCCGGGCCCGGGGGCCGCTGGACACTGCGGGGATAGCGCTGGACACTGCGGGGCCGGAGCGCCCCCCGCCCGCCCTGCCCACCCAGCCCCGCGGAGGGATGGGGAGGAGACCCGGGCCGGGCACCCGCGGGGGCAGCGCCCAGCCCGGCTCCCGCCGCTGAGCACCGCAAGCGAACCGAACCGGGCGGAACCGAACCGAGCCGAGCCCGGCCGGGCCCCCCGGGCAGCGCCCCTTTGTCTGCGGAGGAGGCGAGGCGGGGGCGCTGCGGGAGCGGAGCCGCCGCCCCGCACCCTGCCAGGTGAGCCTGCGGGAGAGCCGGCAGCGGAGCCGGGCCCGGGGGGCTGGGGATGGGGATGGCAGGGGCCGGCGGGGAGCGCGGATGAAGGAACAGCATCCTCGGGCAAAGCCTTCCCGTCCCCACCCCGCGCCTCGGGGCTGGGCTAAGCCGCCGAGAGCCGCTTGCGGGATTTAGCGCTCCGCGAACGCCCAGCCGGAGGAGTCAAGGTGAGCCCGAGGGCGCTCCGAGCCCGCTGCCCCCCAGCAGCACCCCCGAACCCCCCGTTCCTGCACCCCGGGAGGGGACCCTCGGGATGGGAACCCCCACCCCTCCTTCCCCGGGGCTGGGCTGGCTCCATTGCAGCCCTGAGCGGGGTCTGCCTGCAGCAGGGCTGGGCTGGGCTGGGCTGGGCTGGGCTGGGGGATCTCCCGCAGCTGCCGGCGCCCCTCGCAGGGGCCGCTGAGAGCGCTGCAGCCGCAGCGAGCGCTGCCCGCATCCCGCAGCCTAATGTAGGTTAGCGAGGCGGCGGTGGGACCCCGGGCTGGGAGGCGAGCTGGGTGCAGGGCGCGGCCCCTCCGGCACAGCCCGAGCTCCTTTTGCTGCTCCTGGGGGGATCCCCGAGCCCCCGGAGAGCCGCGCTCCCCGCTCAGCATCCCCGGCACCGCAGAGCCCCGAGCCCAGCGGGCCCGGCCGTGCTGCAGCCGGTGTGGAGCACTGCGGGCACGGCAGCGCTGGGGCAGCTGGATCAGCGTCACGGCCCCGGCTCGGTGCTGGCCTGGCCGCGGAGGCTGTGCTGAACGAGCCCGGAAGGTGAAATGATGAGCCGAGGAAGGCAGAGAAGGAATGGCACCAGCAGGGCCCCCTCCCTGTTGTGTTCAGGCTCTCCCAGCAAGCCCAGGGGGACCCCAGGCACTGTCTGAGGGTCTGATGCACCCAGGACAGCTCTGCCCCAGGAGCACGGCGTGCTTTGTCCAGGAAACCAGCTGGAATCATCTGCTTGTTTAGGGTTTCATAGCTGTGTTCCCCAAGGCCAGGGCAGGGCTGGTTCCCGGTGTGTCCTTGGGGACCCCAGGCCCAGGGCAGGACATCAGCTCTCCCCCCTCCCATCCTGCACCCACCGGACAAACGGCACCGGGGCAGGGCCCCCGGGGCTGGGGGAGCTGAGCAGCCCCGGCAGCAGAGCCGGACCGAGCTGCAGGAGGTGCATCAATTATTGACTGTGGAGCTGAACCAAACCCCGCTGCTCCGAGCCCTGGGCGCAGGCTCGGCCGCTCCATCCTCGCAGGCAGATGTGGGTGCCGGCCCCAGCTGGGCGGAGGGCACGGCGGAGGCAGCAGGAGCAGCGGGGACGGGACTCGCTGTGGGCCGGTCCCTGCAGTGCCTGGCAGAGCAGCCGAGCCCCGTGCGCTCCCCACAGAGCGGCAGGATGGCCGAGAAGGGCATGGACCCCGCCTGCGTCTCCATCGCCCTGGAGGACACGGTGTGCCACGCCGGCCCTCCCGACGCGCCGCTGCTCACCACGCACCTGAAGAAGGTGGAGAACCACATCACGGAGGCGCAGAGGTTCTCCCACCTCCCCAAGCGCTCGGCCGTCAACATCGAGTTCATCGACCTGTCCTACTCCGTGCGGGAGGGGCCCTGGTGGAGGAAGAGAGGTAGGAGCTGGCGGGTGGGGAAGGGCAGGGAGGGGAGGGGACCCGCGGGGCTCTCCCAGCCCGGTCTTGTTCTGCACGCCATGACCTCACCCTGCTCCCAGTGCCAGGGCTCTCTGTGCCCGGCTGTTTGTTCTGGGTGCTTTGGGAGGGGGGGAAAACCTGTGCTGGGCAATGCCAGGGGAAGGCAGAAAGAGTTCCAGGGAAACATCTGGCCTGGGCAGACACCCTGGGATGGGATGGGGTGGGATGGGTTTCCCCAGCACTGCTGTTTGGGGTATGATGGATAGGATGGGGTTCCCCAGCACTGCTGTTTGGGGTATGATGGATAGGATGGGGTTCCCCAGCACGGCTGTTTGGGGTATGATGGGGTTCCCCAGCACGGCTGTTTGGGGTATGGTGTCTGTGTGGGATGCAGCAGGACACCCCAGCTCCCAGCCTGGCCAGGAGAAGGTGTGGGCTGTGTTTTGTGGGGGATTTCCTCTCCCTGTGAGCAGGGGCCCCCTTCCCTGTGTGTGACTCTGGCCGGGAGCTCAGGGAGGGGAGAGGGGAGGCAGATGGCGGCTGGTGGGTGGCAGTCTGCTTTAATTAGCGCTTTCAGTTAATGGGATGCCAATCAGGCAGGCCGATAAGATGGAGGGTGAGCTGATCTGCAGAAGCTGAAGGCAGGAGGGGACGAGCAGGGAGGTCACAGGGCTCGGTGAGGGTGTCTGCCAGCCAGGAGTGCCCGGTGGGCTCTGCCCCATCCCCAGGCTGCGCAAAGCTCGGGAAACCGAGGCGCTGAAACACCCTGGGATCATCCCTGACATCTGCCGGGATGGTGCCTCCCTGTTTGCCCGGGATGCTGAGGAAGCGCCCCAGAAGGATCCATGGCACAGCCAGGGCGGGTTGTGCTCTAGCACCCAGGAGGAACCGGCTCCTTGCCAGCGGGCCAGGGCCGGGAGGGAGGGAGGGAGGGGGGAAGGCTCGGGCAGCTGGGCCAGGTGGGAGCAAACCCGGGGGTCCGGGGGTCCCTGGGATGGCGGTGGCTGGGGAGCTTTTCTCCCCCCGTTCCCCCCGTTCAGACAGGGCTGGCGGGGCTCTCGGGGGGTCTCGGTGGTTTTGCCCACATCCCCCAGCCCCGCCGGCCCGCTGTGCCGAGCAGGAGGTTACTGGCAGTCAATGAACGTGAGTAACCGCTGCGCAAGCTGCAGTGGCGCCGACGTGAGCGGCATGCGCGGTGCGGAGCCGTGCGCGCTGCCGGGGGGCTGCTGGCCCTGCTCGCCCCTGCCCACCCTGCGCAGCCCCCCTGACCGCCCCCTGCCCGCGGGACCCCTCCTGATACGGGGGTCCTGACCCCGAGGGGCTCAAAGGAGGAACGGGGTGGATGCGCTTCCCTGGGGATGGAGAAGCCTCAGGACTCCCCAGAGAGGTGGGGCTGTCACTGCTGTGTCCCTGGGCTTATCCCAGCTTGGCTTTGCTGCCCTCGCCCCACAGCGCTGTCCCCGTGGGGCACAGAGGGGACGCAGTTCCGCTGGAGGGATGCTCAGGCTCGGTGCATGGGGTTATCACCCCCCAAAACCGATTCCTGTCCAGCCAGGGCTCCATTTCAGGGGCGGCTCCTGAGAGCCCGAGGCTGTGCTTGTTCCTTGCTCCCGACACATCGTGTTCCCTCTGCCAGAAAATGCTAATCAGCCGCGTTTAAAGCAGAGATAATTCCAGGTCTGATTAGCAGCGGCTGCTGCCGGGTGCCACAGCGTGAATGCCAATGAAGGCAGCAGCCGGATCGGGAATTCTGCCTGCCCCCCGCTGCCCCGCTCCGGCTGGCCCTGCCCCTGGCCTTGGGGATCAGCGTCTGAAGACAAACCCAGGAGCAGCCTGGTAATCTCCCTCAGCGGCTCAGTGCCCTGACCCTGGGATTTCCCTGCTCTTTGCTGTGATCCAGGTCAGGAGCTTCTTCAGCGCCGGGAATCAGCGGGATCAGCCAAGGACCAGGGGCAGGGATCGTGCTGGAGGTGGCAGCTGCAGTGGCCAAAGCCCTGGGGGTGCTGATGGGGCACACAAAGCTCCTCCACGGCACACGGGGGTCCTGAGGTGCCCCAGGAGCTGGGGTGGCAATGCCAAACCCCTGCTGCTCTCCCCCTGCAGGGTACAAGACTCTCCTCAAATGCCTGTCGGGGAAATTCTGCCAGCGGGAGCTCATTGGGATCATGGGCCCCTCGGGAGCTGGGAAATCCACACTCATGAACATCCTGGCTGGCTACAGGTGGGTCTGGGGGGTCCCAGAGGGGCTGGGGGTACAGGGCTGTGCTGCATCCCCCTGCCCTCCCTCCTGCAGGGAGACTGGCATGAAGGGGCAGATCCTGGTGAACGGGCGGCCGCGGGACCTGCGCACCTTCCGCAAGATGTCCTGCTACATCATGCAGGATGACATGCTGCTGCCACACCTCACCGTGCTCGAGGCCATGATGGTGAGCTCTGGGGACATCCTGAGGTGAGGGACATCCTCTGGGGACATGCTGTGGGCTGGCTCCTTGTGGGCACTGACCCCACACGATCACTGGGCATTTCCAAGGGCTCTGGGATGCAGGAACAAAATCCTGCTCCCTCCATGCTGAGCAGTCAGGGGTGGAACCACGCTCTGTTCCCTACTTCTGACAGTCCTGTCTCCATGGCCATCCTCTCCCTGCAGGTCTCTGCCAACCTGAAGCTGAGTGAGAAGCAGGAGGTGAAGAAGGAGCTGGTAAGGGCTGGGGAGGGTGGGCCCAGACCCCCTCAGCTCTCCCCACGATGGGGATGAGGGGAGCAGGGGATGGCAGGGGTGAAGGGAGGGGGATGAAAGCCTGTCCAAACCCTTGGCTGTGTGACAGGTGAACGAGATCCTGACGGCCCTGGGGCTGCTGGAGTGCTCCTACACCCGCACCAGCTCCCTGTCGGGGGGGCAGCGCAAGCGCCTGGCCATCGCCCTGGAGCTGGTCAACAACCCGCCCGTCATGTTCTTCGATGAGCCCACCAGGTGAGCCCACAGGGGCTCCCAGCCCTGCCTGCCCAGCTGGGCTGCCCCTGCTGGCCTGGCCAGTGCCCTCTGGTGCCCATCTGAGCACGGCATGGGACTGTGCCCCTGGTGCTGGTGCTGCTCTGCGTGGATCTGAGGGGAGGGTGTCCACAAGTGAGGGCATCTTCAGGATGTTCTTGTCCCTCTCTCAACTCTCCCCTTCTCTCTCTGCTGTCTCTCTCTCCTCTCCACCCCTCCTGCGTGGCCACAGCGGGCTGGACAGCGCCTCCTGCTTCCAGGTGGTGTCCCTGATGCGCTCCCTGGCTCAGGGCGGGCGCACCATCATCTGCACCATCCACCAGCCCAGCGCCAAGCTCTTCGAGATGTTCGACAAGGTCTGGCCTGGCACAGGCTCCCTGTGGCCCCAAGGAGAGAGGCCATGGGAGGGGTGGGCTGCAACTATTTGGCCTGGGTTTTTGTGGCTGGGGTCTGGCAGGGGTGGCCTGTGCCAGGAGGGGGTGGCAGTGCCCTGGCTGCCCATCTCCTGCCACATCCTGGCTTTCTCTTGCAGCTCTACATCCTGAGCCAGGGCCAGTGCATCTTCAAGGGCGTCGTGACCAACCTCATCCCCTACCTGAAGGGCCTCGGCCTCCACTGCCCCACGTACCACAACCCCGCTGACTTCAGTGAGTGCCCCCACCCCAGCAGAGGGTGGAAGCTCAAAACCCCGTGCCCAAACCTCCCAGGATGCCCAAGGGAGCTGCCCGTGCCCTTCCTGCTCGGTGCTGGGGGCTCAGCACCTCTCAGGGGTCCTGTGTCCTGTGCCCTCCACAGTCATCGAGGTGGCCTCAGGGGAGTACGGGGACCTCAACCCCGTCCTGTTCCGCGCTGTCCAGAACGGGATGTGCACCATGGCCGAGAAGAAGAGCAGCCCTGACAAGGCAGATTCGTGCCCCACGTGTGGGACGGTGAGTGGGGCTCAGAGGAGCCTCCTGTGCCAGCAGTGGTGAGAAGCTGACCCACGTCCCTGTGCTCCTGCAGGATGTGGATCACATCGAGAGCCACACATTCGCCACCAGCGCCACAACTCAGTTCTGCATCCTCTTCAAGAGAACCTTCATCTGCATCCTGCGGGACACGGTAAGGGCTCAGGGCTGGGCTCTTTGGGGCTGGCAGCACCTAGGAACTCCATGGGCTGTCCTCTGCTCCCTTGGGGTGTTTTTGGGGTGCTGAGCCCCCCTGTGCCCGCAGGTGCTGACCCATCTGCGGTTCATGTCCCACATCTGCATCGGGGTGCTCATCGGGCTGCTCTACCTGCACATCGGCAACGACGCGGGCAAGGTCTTCAACAACACCGGCTTCCTCTTCTTCTCCATGCTCTTCCTCATGTTCGCTGCCCTCATGCCCACCATCCTTACCTGTAAGGAGCTCCCTGCCCCCAAATCTCCTCGCTGCTCCCAGGGGTGCTCCAGCTGTGTGGCACTGTGGGTGTGCTGGGCAGGGCGTGGGGAGCCAGAGGGATTGGCCAAATTCCAAAGGGACTGAAAAGTAAGAGAGGAGAGAAAAAATTAAACAGGGAAAAGTCTTCTGTTTGCCTGTATTGCAGTTTTGCCCTTTATTTAGCTATAATCTGGTTATTTCACCCCTGTTGGCTCAAAGCATAATGCTGGAATTTTAATATTTTAATATTTTATTATTTTGATCTGTGAAAATGTAAATATGTAAAAAGCCCCACCCAAGCTGACTTTTCCACGTGGAAGTTCCCCGTATCAGCCACTGATTTATTTTTCCCCCCAAGGAAGGTTTGGGCACCCTCTCATGATGCAGGTGGGGGTTACCTGGTGCACCCCACCTGCAGGGCGGGTGTGAGAGGGGCTGGAGCCCCCCAGGGCAGGGAATTTCTTGGTGCTCACCCTCTGTGTCCCTGCAGTCCCCCAGGAGATGACCGTGTTCCTGAGGGAGCACCTCAACTACTGGTACAGCCTCAAGGCCTATTACCTGGCAAAGACCATGGCAGACGTGCCCTTCCAGGTGAGCTTTGGTGCCTTTGGTACCACCCTGGTGCTGCTGTGCCACCCTTGGCACGGCCAGGCCCTGCCCAGTGCCCCAGGCGGTGTCTGTGGGGTCGGTGGGGTGGGGATGGCTGTGAGTGGTGTCTGAGGGGTCAGTGGTGTGGGGATGGCCGTGGGGCCCAGCAGGGTGGTGTCTGTGGGGTGGGGATGGCCGTGGGTGGTGTCAGTGGGGTCAGTGGGGTGGGCATGGCCATGGGGCCCAGCAGGGGCACAGGGGAGGGGCTGTATCTGTGGGATCTGTGGGGTGGTGATGGCTGTGGGTGATGTCTCTGGGATCAGTGGGGTGGAGATGGCCATGGGGCCCAGCAGGGTGATGTCTGTGGGGTCATTGGGGTGGAGACGGCCATGGGTGGTGTCTGTGGGGTCAATGGGGTGGGCATGGCCATGGGGCCCAGTAGGGCTGTGTGTCTGTGGGGTCAGTGGTGTGGGGATGGCCGTGGGGCCCAGCAGGGTGATGTCTCTGGGGTGGGGGTGGCCACGGATGGTGTCTGTGGTGTCTCTTGTGGGGGGATGGCCATAGGGCCCAGCAGGGTGGTGTCTGTGGGGTGGGGGTGGCCATAGGGCCCAGCAGGGTGGTGTCTGTGGGGTGGGGGTGGCCATGGGGCCCAGCAGGGTGGTGTCTGTGGGGTCAGTGGGGTGGAGATGGCCGTGGGGCCCAGCAGGGCTGTGTCTCTTGTGTGGTTATGGCCGTGGGGCCCAGCAGGGTGATGTCTCAGGGGTGGGGGTGGCCATGGATGGTGTCTCTGGGATCTGTGGGGTGGGCATGGCCGTGGGGCCCAGCAGGGCTGTGTCTGTGGTGTCTGTGGGGTGGGGATGGCCCTGGGTCCCAGCAGGGCCGTCTGTCTGTCCCCTGCAGGTGATCTGCCCCATCGCCTACTGCAGCATCGTGTACTGGATGACGGGCCAGCCCCCCGAGGCCACGCGCTTCCTGCTCTTCTCCGCCCTGGCCACCGCCACCGCCCTGGTGGCCCAGTCCCTGGGGCTGCTCATCGGAGCTGCTTCCACTTCCCTGCAGGTCTGGCAGGCTTTGCCTCTTCCGTGGAGAGTTGCAAGGGTCCCTGTGGTGGTTTGGGGTGAAGTTTTGCCCGTGGGTGGGCAGGGATGTGACCCCCAGTGGCCTGTGTTCCCCAGGTGGCCACCTTTGTGGGACCTGTCACCGCCATCCCCGTGCTGCTCTTCTCGGGCTTCTTCGTCAGCTTCAAGACCATCCCCACCTACCTGCAGTGGAGCTCCTACGTCTCCTACGTCAGGTGGGCCCCAGCTCTGGCCAGAGCTCCCTGTCCTGGGCTCCCCTGTGCCCCTGGTGACCCTCAGGTGTGCTCTGCCCCAGGTATGGCTTCGAGGGGGTCATCCTCACCATCTACGCCATGGAGCGCGAGGACCTGGAGTGCCTCGAGGACTTCTGCCCTTTCCAAAAGCCCATCAAGATCCTGCAGGAGCTGGACGTGGAGGAGGCCAAGCTCTACCTGGACTTCCTCATCCTGGGCATCTTCTTCGTCATCCTGCGGCTCCTGGCTTACCTGGTGCTCAGGTACAAGGTCAAATCTGAGAGATAAGGGGGCCGTGGGGCCCCGGTGCCGTCCCCGGGCCTGGCCTGCTGTGAGAGATGTTCTGCAGATGGACACGGTGCTCCTGCAGGTCCCAGACCGTGGTGGAGGCACTGGGAGGTGCCAGCCAGGCCTGGCTCAGTCGAGAAGGGTTTTGAGACATCTCGGAACTGTTTTAACCTTTCCACACACACTCTCTTCATTGCAAAACGTTTTGTACAGCCCTGGCATGTGCCACTGTCCTCCCCCAGGACTGACAGAGCTCAGCTCCCGTCTTGGTGTCCCTGGGGACAGCAGGGACAGCCCAGCCCAGGTGTTTGTGCCCAGCACGGCTGGGAGGAGCCTGCCCTGAGCAGCTGGGGCTGGGCTGGGCTGGGCTGGGCTGGCAGGAGGGAGCTGCAGAGCTGGAGGTGCAGCTCATGGTCCCGTTCCTCGTCCTGGCCAGCAGCGTGGGAGACAGCGCTGAGAGGAGCCCAAAGATGCCACGGTGGAGTTGCACAAGGCTTTAGAGTTTCCTGCCGCTGTAGCCACAGAGATTGCTGCATCCCCTTTTTTTTCTGTGCAAACCCTCCTTCTTTTTGTTCCTTTTTTCTTTATTTTTTTTTTCCCCTCAATCCCCACTGCATCTTCAGCAAAGGGAGCAAACAGGCAGAGAAGGACTTGGGGCTCTGTCTCAGACTCCTGCTGGGACATCATGCTCAGAGATGGGATCTCCAAAGCAGGGTCTGTGGCAGCAGGACAGTGTTCTCAGACCTTAGGGGGTCTCACATTCAGTCCCTGTTGCCCCTGGGGTCTGAGACAGGAGGATCTGAACTAATTTAACCAACGCGGAAGAAATTATTGGTCCCTTGCACGGAGCAAGGAGGATTTTGGTTCCCACACCCTGCCCGTGCCAGGAGGATGGAAAACAGGGCTGGGCTCAGCTGTGTCATCACTGGAGGCTGTGCTGCAGGAGCTGAACAGGCCCTGAGCCCTTCCCTGCAGCCTCTGTGCCTCAGCTCCCCGGGGCTGCCTCAGCACACGAGCCTCGCTCAGCACCGACTGCAGGGAGGGGACACCAAGGACACCCAGCCTGGCACAGTGCCAGCCCCCAGGGCGACACTGGGCACAGGGGCTCCCTCTGCAGAGCAGTGCCTGCACTGGAAACCAGGGGAGATCCCAGGCTGGTTTGTTTGCAGCAGGTGACACGGACTCTGGGAAGGCCTTTGCACTTAGTGATGGCACCAGAAGGGACCTTTGGTGGCTCTGGTGGCTGCTCCAAACTCGCACACCTTGCAGAGAGAGGGAAGGCAATTCAGCACCGTGCTGGCTCTGCAGAGGAACTGAGCTGAGCCCAGAGCTGCTGAACCAGGGCCATCTGCAGGTGCTGCTGTGCTGGGAACAGAGCACCCTGCTCTCCTGCCCAGCTCAGCTCTGTGTGCTGGCACTGATGGGAACACAGCACCCTGCTGCCCTGCCCAGCTCAGCTCTGTGTGCTGGCACTGCTGGGAACACAGCACCCTGCTGCCCTGCCCAGCTCAGCTCTGTGTGCTGGCACTGCTGGGAACACAGCACCCTGCTGCCCTGCCCAGCTCAGCTCTGTGTGCTGGCACTGCTGGGAACACAGCACCCTGCTGCCCTGCCCAGCACAGCTTCGTGGGCTGGCACTGCTGGCACCGGGCTGCACCCACAGACGTGGGAACCTGCAGGATTTTGGCAAGCGTGGACGTGGGGGAGGCAGAGCCCTGCCCCACCCTGGCAGGCTGGCCCTAGTTCAGCTCAGCCTGGGGATCCTGCTCCTGGCACTCTGAGCAGCCAGGGATGGCAGGGCAGATGCCAGGTTCCAGCAGAGTCCTGGGGACTGATCTCTGGCTTTGCTGGCTCGGGCTGGGGCTGCACAGCAGAGTCTGGCTGGCCTGGCACTGATGCTGGCGCTCAGCAAGGCTGAGCTTCCCCTGCTGGAGGGCATCGAGGAGTGTTTGGCCACGGGGCTCTCCTGGAAGCAGCACCCACCCTGGTGCCCCTTCCACGCTGAGCTTGGGGTTATCCCCAGGGGCTGCTCTCTGACTTTTCACTGCCCTCACAAAAGTCCCCTCTGCTCCTGGGCCTTCCTGCAGTGCTGTGCTCTGCAGCGGGGCTGTGCCAGCTGCAGGGCTGCCGGCCACAGCCACGGGGGCACAGAGGAGTGGGGGGCAGCCCCTGTGCTCTGTCACAAGGTGCACAGGTGGGCAGGGAGCTGGGGGATGTGGGGCTGTCACCCTTGTCCATCTCCTTGTCCCTGGAGCCGGTGGGATGATGCCCTGCTTCTGTCCTGCTCTGCTGGGCTGAGGCTTTTCCCTGGGTGGATCCTGAGGTGCAGGAGGTGTCAGTGGGGCAGCTCTGCACAGCTCCTGCTTCCCCCCTGTCCCCAGTGCTGTCCCCAGCACACCTGGACAGCCCTGTGCCATCACAGCCAGGGCCACCACTGCTCCCAGGAGGACCAGGACAAAGAAGGACTGGTGTTGGAGCAAAGGGGCCACCAGCAGGCACCAGGGACAGCCACTGGCCATGTCCCCCATGCCCAGGGAAGGATTTGCTGAGCAGGCTCTGCAGTTTGCAGTGAAACCCCGCGGCACAGGCACTGCCAGGGCAGGTGGCTCCCGCTGCTGGGCCCAGCCTGTCTGGGCTGGGGCAGCACCCTGGGATGTCCAGGAGGGCTCAGCACAGCCTGTGCCCCCTGTGCCCATCAGGTACGTGGCCACTGCAGGGCAGAGGGCCAGGACACAGCCTGGAGCTGCAGGATGGCTGTCCCTGAGCTGGGCAAGGGGACTGGGGGTGATGGGGCAGACCCCGGGGCAGCAGGGCACAAGTGAATGTGTGGGTATGGAGGGGTTGATGAGTGAGGGATGTGGCACAGGGCAAGGGCACCCTGGGTGCTGCCTGAGGAGCTAAGCCAAGGTGTCACTGTCCCTTCCCTGTGTTCAAGGACAGCCCCAGAGGTGTGGAAGGTGCAGGGAAAGGCGAGGAGGAGAAGCACGTTTGCACTGAGCCCCCAGGCTGGCGGGGCTGGGCTGAGCACCCCGGGTTCATTGCCTGGGTGCTCCCTGCCCTGCTCCTGGGGTTTTCTCTGCCCAAGCATGGCAGAGGGATGGGGTGCAGCCATCCTGCCCCAGGGGGCCCCGGGGGAAGCAGCAAGGATGCACTTTATCAGAGCAGGGAGCAGAGCCGTGGGTGCTCCCGGCTGCAGGAATGCCACGAGAGAACACGTCTGGATAATCAGGAGGAGCGTGATGGAGGAGAGCAGGCTTCTTCCCCCACACCTCCTCTCCTGCCCCTGCCCTCCCTTGTGATGCACTTTGAGTGGATGAGGGTGGGGTTCAAGCTGTGGCTCTGGCTCCCTGGGAACGCCAGCTGAGCCTCAACCCACCACAAACTGCTCCAGCCCCTTTGGCCCATGGCTGTGTCAGGCTCTGCCTCTCACGGGGGCTCTGGTGGCAGGCAGGCAGGCAGGGGCATGGCCACTCACCTCCATGCATGTCCAGGCCACCTCCGTCACACGCACAAGAAGAGCAAACGCTTCATCACCTGGCTGGGGTCTGCTGGAGGGGAGGCTGGGCTAGAACAGGGAGGGGATGGGGCTTCTCCCAGGGTGTCACCCCTCTCCCAAATCAGGCAATAAAACAGTGTTTCCTTCTCACTGTGTGTGTGTGGACACCGTTTGTCCTGTCCCCCTGCCCTGGGCTCTGTGTGTGTCCCTGCCATGCTGGGCCCTGTGATTTTCCAGCTTTTGCTGTGTCGGGACACCAGGCTGGACAGTGTGAGGCACGTGTGATCCAGGGGGGCACCACGCAGAGAAGGGCAGGCATTGAAACTCACATTTCCACACAACCACGGGTGTGAGCTACCTTCCTACCAAAATAAGGGGCAGGTACCAGCTCAGAGGCCGAGGGAGTCTCCTGGCACAGCTCTGTTGTGCCAGCTGCTCCGGGGGCATTTGCCCAGGTGGTTCTGCCTTGCTGGGAGGAGGCTGTGAGGCAGGAGCAGGGCACTGCTGCCCACAGCTGCAGCCTGGCAGGAACCAGGCAGGGTGGAGTGAGGCCCGGGGCTCTCCAGGCTGGGCTGCACACGCAGGTAAGTGCCCCGCAGGGCCGGGGTGCCAGGTGCCAGCTTGCTGCTCGCCCAGAGGGTGCCGGGAGCTGTTGGGCAGGAGGAGATGCTCTGCTTTGTGTCGGTGTTTCCGAGATGCCAGCTGTACTTGTTGGATTTCACACATCAATAAAACTTATATTTATAGTGTACTGCCTGCGTGTCTCCTTTCCTGAGAGCCTCGAGGGCACGGGTGATGGGGAGCACTGAATTTGGGGTGTAAATACACACTGAGGTGTGCAGTCTCAGCACCCCTGGGTGGGCTGGCACCTCCCAGGACAGCATCCAGGGGCTGTGTGTGGCCTCGGTGACACAGCTGTCACTCGCTGGGTGGCCAGAGCAGCTCTGCCGGCAGCCAGAGGGCAGGTACAGGTTACAGGTGTGTGTGTGTGTGTGTGTGTTCACCAGGCACAGCCTCCCCCGGCTCCTTCCGCCGCCGGGGTGGGATCCTCTCCGCAGCAGAACGCGTCCTGCAGGCTCGGGTTGCACGGCCGGGCAGCAGCTGGGGATGCAGAGCCGCCAGATGTGTCCGGAGGACATCCCCGCCTGGCTGCACATCTGGTGAGAGCGCGCCTCCCGCAGTCCTGCCCGTGTTTGGGAGGCCGTGGGGGGTGCGGGTGATCCTGCAGCCTCCGGACACTGTCTCATCCTTCTCGGGGGGCTGCCAGAGCCCAGTGCGGTGTTCCGGGTGTTCCTGCCAGCCTCCAGTCGCTTTCCAATCGTGCTCGGGGAGCTGGCAGAGCTGGGTGCGTGTTCCTGGCAGAGCCTGGCGCGGGTTCCTGCCAGGTTCCAGCTGCTCTCTCATCCTTCTCGGGGGGCTGGCAGCGCCCGGTTCGGGTTCCTGCTGGCTCCAGCCGCTCTCCAATCGTGCTCGGGGAGCTGCCAGTGCCCGGTGCGGGTTCCTGCTGGCTCCAGCCGCTCTCCAATCGTGCTCGGGGAGCTGCCAGTGATGGGTGAGGGTTCCTGCTGGCTCCAGCCGCTCTCCAATCGTGCTCGGGGAGCTGCCAGTGATGGGTGCGGGTGTTCCTGCCAGGCTCCAATCGTGCTCCGGAGCTGGCAGCGGCGGAGCGGGGCGGGACAGGGCAGGATGGCGTTGCAGGAAGTTCTGCCCGCGGAGCTGCCGCCTCCGCAGCGGAGCCGTGCCCGGGACAGGCGGATGGGCAGCTCGGGGCTGCGC